CACCAAGTTCCGGGAGAACGAGGGGACGTGAAACCCAGTGAGAGACCCAGAAGGAGCAGCCGGACACGGCAAGGTGGTAGTGTGACGCGCGGTGACTGGTCCCGAAGTGGGATCAGCCAGCGCCACAGAAACAGGCGCAGGAAGAGGCGTAAGTGTCGTGCTGTCACGAAAGAAGCAGTGAGAGGCTCCAGAGTCCAGCGTGAACGACAGCGAACCGTCCTCTGAGGTAGCCGCTGGACTAGAGTCTACACAAGAACCTACACTAGCAACAGGCAACTGAGCAAGGCTAGCACCTAAGCTAACAACACCAGAGTAAGCAGAGTCAGAAACACTAGAGTCAACAACAGCATACATAGCATGGGGAGTACCAATCAGATCAACTAACTGCTCAGCAGACATGCCCCACAGAGCGGAGCCGTAGCGCTGAACAAGAGGCAGCCAGTCAGGGGCAGGAGCACCAACCCCGTAGACCAAACGAACCGTGTCAGTGAGCTGAGCAAAGCACTGACCAGGGGGGTGAAACCGGCCACAAGGGTGGCCACGACGAGTGCCTGTCAGAACCTGGTAGGTGCAGGGAGTGTAAGCAGCACCGCGCTGGGTCTGACGCAGCCCCGACCCTGGAGCCAGCTGCTGCCGCTGCTGCTGCTGAGGCTGCTGGGAGGAGAGGGGCTGCTGGTGCTGCAGAAGCTGCTGCTGACGCTGAGCCTGGTACCACGCCGCTGCTCCACCAACCGGGGCAGGAAGTACAGGAGGCGACTGACGAACTCGGGCGTCGCCACCACCAGCAGGCGCAGTGGAGTCACCAGTCACTGCACGAGGCGCCTCTCCAGGCCCTGAACCTCCACCGCCGCCAGGCGCAACGCCACCTCCACTACCTCCGCCTCCACCTCCACTACCACCACCAGAACCGCCTTTCTTGCCACTCCTACCGCGGGACCGCGACGCAGTCGTAACAGCAGCTGCAGTCGCGTCAGTAGCGGCAGTGGCAAGTGAGGCAGTAAAGGTGGGTAACTGCGGGACTGTGCACCCGTGGAAGAGTGGGGGGGGCACAGCACCAGAGGCAGCGGCTACCGAGCGAAGGTTGCTCTCGACGTCCTTGAGTGTAGACTCAAGGACATCGACGGTGAGCTCACTAGGGTGCTTCAGCAGAAGCGCGTCGCGAACGGAGGCAAGGCGGTCAGGGAGGCTAGTGGCGATGAAATAGATAGTAATCGCCATAGGGGGAGGAAGCAGTGCAAGCTGTGCCTCAGTGCAAGCAGCGCGGTAACTAGCGTCGAGCGAGCGGAGGTGAGCGATCAAGTCAGCAGAGCGCTCAAACGAGGCGAGATCAGGAAACAGGAACGGGAGGAAAAGACGGCCAAGAGAGACAGTAGCGGGAGTAGAGTAGCGGGCCTTAATCGCAGTGAGGTACGCAGCAGCGGTGCGAACCTGAGTGAAGTGGACCTCCTCTGACTCAGGGAGGAGGCTGCTGAGTGCGATGCAGGCCGCAGCGTCACGCGACGTCCAAGCCGTCCTGTCAGCGCGCTGACGGGCAAAGCGAGCCGTAGCAGCATCGTCAGGGGCAGGACCTAAAGCGGCAGGCTCGGGGGGCTCGGGGAGGTCACCAGTAGCGTGCGACCAGAGGGTCTCGCCCCCCTGGACTTGACTCTCTAACAGACGGCGAGCGCGAAGAAGCCAGACGGAGAAGTCAAGAGGTCTACCGTCAGCGTCGAAACGAAGAACTCGCGGAGTCGCCATAGCGAGAACTAACGCGAACGAGCAGGCGAGTAACAGCAGGAGGTAAGAGGCAAATTAGGGTTCAGGTGGGGGGGGGGGGACTTAGTTGTCAGAATCCCAGCCACTAACCACTGGGATAAAAGGGCTTGTTTATATAGCGGGTGAGTGCGCCCATAACCCCCCAGGCCAACATGCCTGTAACCCTTCCCTAGGATCATCGGGGATCCCCAGTGGACCTCTGACACCCCCCCGCACTGGGATGCCCGAAGTGCACACACCGGGAATCGAACCCGAGACCTTCGCTCTGATACCATGTTAGAATCGTAGGTGTGGGGCCTAGGCTTAGTAGCCTAGGCCCACACTAGGAGGTAGGTGGGTGTGCTCTAGAACTAGGAGTTAGGGTTTACGAAGGAGAATTGGAACGAAGAATGAATGGTGACTAGCAAGCAGCAGAACACACAAATAGCAAACCCTAAGGGGTTGTACTCACTATTGAGCACCCCACTGCAGGCTAGACAAATAACATTCTGACATTAGTCGCAGCGGAAGAACGGGCTAGGGCGACGGGCCAGGGCGTAGGGTCGACGGGACGGGGGAAAGGGCGGGCGCGATGCGACGGGGCAGGGCGACGCGACGGGGCAGGGCGACGGGACGGGGCAGGGCGACGGGACGGGGCAGGGCGACGGGACGGGGCAGGGCGACGGGACGGGGGGAAAGGGCGCGACGCGACGGGACGGGGCAGGGCGACGGGACGGGGAAGGGCGACGGGACGGGGCAGGGCGACGGGACGGGGAAGGGCGACGCGACGGGGCAGGGCGACGCGACGGGGCAGGGCGACGGGACGGGGAAGGGCGACGCGACGGGGCAGGGCGACGCGACGGGGCAGGGCGACGGGACGGGGCAGGGCGACGTGACGGGGGGAAAGGGCGCGACGCGACGGGGGGAAAGAGCGCGACGCGACGGGGGGAAAAGGGCGCGACTCGACTGGGGGGAAAGGGCGCGACGCGACGGGGGGAAAGGGACGCAACGAGGGGGGAAAGGGCGGGCAGGACGCGACGCTAGGAGTGGCGCTAGGCGCGGCACTACGCGCGGTAACAACGGAACCGGGACGAATGAGAGCTAGGATCAGGCTCGGGAGGCTCGAACGGAGAACGGAGGAACGGGATCCCACAGGATCCTAACCTAACTGATACTATGTCAGAATGAAGAATGGATGATGCATTGATGTTGGTTGGGGTACATATAGCTAACCCTAAGTTTTGTACCCCCTAAGACAAACCTCACTATAGGCTACAACATTTGACAGGTTTCACTATAGGGCAAATGGTACAAATAGGATAGGAAAGGGGTATACCACCAAGCAGGATGTTATGATAGCTACACTAACACTAGAACTACATGCAGTTATAAGAATGCAATTCCGACACATCAGTGTAACATTTTTAAAAGCCCTTGTTGAAATTGTTCAATACAGCACACACAAACATTTTCAATCAAGGCATCGTTGTTGCCTCGAATGTAACTGCAGTACACCTGGGCTCCAATAATTTCATTCCCCCTAATTGCAAGGCCCCTGTCGTCATCTGTGGCTCCTGGTTGAGAGCGGTTCGGTCCTCCCAACAACCCTCCGATACCTTTAACCGAATAAAACCGCTTTCGCTCCGTTCAGAAGAGTCCGAAACCCCGAAATCTTTCGTGAGAGTGTTGAAATTAGAGGGAACTTTTTTGTTCCCCCCAATTTCAACCCCAGGGCAAAACGACAAGGACGCGGCTCGGTGCCCACATTCTGAAATTACCGGAGCCCAGGTGTACTGGCCAATGGGGGCCAATTTCGTGCCAGCACACATTGTGTCGTTACGAACTGTACAGTTACGACAGTTGTCACAGGTGATTCCGAGGTTTCGGGGAAGGGGGGGTACGGGAGAGGGGAGGGGGGGGGGGGGGGGGTAGGGGGGGGCGGCCCAGGGGGGCCTGGAACACGCGTCAGGGTAAATCTCGATAACAGAATCGGCAACCCTGAGGCTGTTGAGATACTAGCACAAGTGGTAGTTAGGTTTAGGGCCTAGGCTTAGTAGCCTAGGCTACGGGGGGAGAGGAAGTTTGTGCCAAGAGAGAAAGTCGAGAATAGGAATGATGCAATATGAGAAACAAGTACAAGTTATAGTTCAGGAAGGGTGCACCACCAAGCAAGAACAAATGTATGACTACACTACAGCTAGAACTACCTCCACCTCTCTTCTCTTTCCCCCTCTGCTGCTCCTGCAGCAGTGTGGGGGGGAGGGGGAGGGGGAGGGTGAGGGGATGGAAGGGGTGACCAGCCAGCAAGAACAAATGTATGACTACACTACAGCTAGAACTACATGCAGTTATATATAATTCTGACAGAGGCGACAGTGTAGCATATTCGTAAACTCTGACACATCAAGGTAAATGCAGGTCCTAAAAATCTTACCCTACCCCATCAGTGTTACTACCTAAAAACCACCCTGTTCATCAGGGCATCAGGGTGATTTACCCTGATAAAATAGGCCCTGGTGGTGATCAGTGGTGGCTCGGGCACACGTATGTAGTAAATACGGGGTCGTTTTTGTTTGCTTTTGTTGGTTTCTTCTTTTTACAAGGTGGCTCCAGTAAGCGACTCGTGCTTTTTTCCGCATAGCTGCTAGTCTTGCTGCGAACTGGTATAGAAGAGCCTAGTTTGCAGCGTTTTCGATTTGGTGTAGGTTTAAGTTAGGGCATAGCCCACCTAGGAATATATGTGTATTGCTGTTTCGACTTCCACAGTATATGATCAAATGGAGTGTAACGCAAAATGAAATGTAAATTATGGATTGAGTAGTAACTGATTATTCAGATGCAACGCTGTTCATAGATGTGGCTGATTGTAACAAAGAACAAGGTTCCCCTCCCCTTGCTCCTCATCTTGTAGTGCTGTCTGTAAGGAAAGAATGTCAGTGCAACAGAGGTGTTGTACCCTTTCTTCTACTCTCAACAACAATTCATTCCCTCACCATTGTGTGCAAGTGACTCTCGGTGAGCCTCCAATGTGGTGAGGTCGTTTATACTGAGCCTGGATAATTTATGCAGCATGCCCACAGTGGTGCAAGAATGCTGTCATGCAGTCAGTCATACAGCCCATGCAACCAGTGCCCTTTTAAGGCAGCAGCAGGCACGCAGGCATGTACCCATCATGTACCCTGTAACCATGCCGGCATGTACGGTACCTATGTCATTCATTTGTGCACCCACATAGGCAAGTGCCCATGTGCCCCATAGGGCCTATGCTACGGCAGCAGCAGGCACTGCCCCGAGTAGATCTTGTTCACGTCACACACCTGATGGCACAAGGGGGTAATACAATACACAGCACCTTAGCAGAGCAGCTTAGCAAGGGCAGTGCCAATTACAAGCAGACAGACTTTATAGCATGTGCGTCATATCTATAACAGGTTGCACCGCAACCGCACGACAACACGCACCTCATGACCAAGCAATCAAGCAGCACTCTATCGATCTCAAAAGCCGTGACATGGACCTCATCTCGATGCTGGCTGGAAAGCTTTGGGACATCTCAAAACTCGATTTTGGACATCTCAAAACTCGATTTTTGGACATCTCAAAACTCGATTTTGGACATCTCAAAACTCGATTTTGGACATCTCAAAACTCGATTTTGGACATCTCAAAACTCGATTTTGGACATCTCAAAACTCGATTTTGGACATCTCAAAACTCGATTTTGGACATCTCAAATCTCGACGCTTTGCTGGAATTTTTTCGTAAATCACAAAAGTATGGAGCTTGAAGAACTTACAGCTGTAACCACACAAGCCATGAAGAACACAGGTGCTGGCAGCAACGTGAACGCCGCGCGGCCTCTATCTGCCTCGATGTTGTGATGTGATTCTCACCCCAGCATCTAGCCCGAAGAACTCGTGAAATGATTGTGTTTTTGAGACGTCTCAAAAACACCCTCGTTTCACCTGCTGCGGCATTGTGATGTGAGTCTCACTTCAGCATCAAGCCCCAAGAACTTTGAATTCCAAATCGCGTTGCAAACCGTGCACAAACATATGGTCCGGAGCAACACGAGCAGTATTACATATATCTCAAGGCCGTGACATGCTTCTCACCTCGGGGTTGTGCCTGAAGAACTAGGAGTTGGGATCACACATGGTGTGCACAAACATGTAGCAGAGCTACATGAGCGGCACTGTCTCTATCTCATGACTGTACGTGCCTCTCACCTCGGGGTTGCGTTTAAAGAACTCGGAGTTGGGATCACACAAGGCGGCTCGGGGCACGAGGGAGCAGAGGGTGTCTCCTGGTCGCACGATCCAGATCCTGGAACCTCAGACAAGGCAACAAGCGAACCACAACCAGAGCAGGCTCAGCAAGAGAAACTCTCTACTTTGCATGAGCAAATAAATGGAAGCGAGCAGAACGACGATCTCACGGTTTTAAAAACACGCCGACACCCTGTGCTCACCAAATGCTCATGCATCCAGTTATCCATACAAGATGTATGTATGTCAGCCATTTCTTGTTTGTTACACCACAGGAGACACGACACGTGCAGCGACGCTTCCTTACTTTCCATCCATTTCCTTGGCACTCCCGTTCCTGATGCACCAACAGATGCAAGACGACGGAGTGGCACACGTTCCAGTTTGGAGACGGGGAGGCACACGTTTGGAACAACGTCGGTTCAGCACGTTAAGCCCGTGACAGGCCATTTCAGTGGTCAAAGTGGATTGATTCGGCAGAGATTGAAGTCAGCCCGTTTCAGTGGTCACGCAGTGGACGACCACACGTGGAGATGCGAGATGGGAGTCATGTTGGGGAGGGGAGCGGGGAAGGGAACAGAGAGAGGGGAGTTACGGAGGAAGGATGGCAAAGCTATCAACATTCAGATGCTGCAGCGATATTGTTGAAGGAAAGTAGGGAGCATATGGAAAGAATCATTATCATCACTCGTCTGTCGCTTATGGGAGCCACTTTTGAAAAATCTCATAAGTGAATTTCAAATTTCATGGAATCGCTACTCACCTCATTCGCTGCGCCACCTGCAGGGGCGTCAGTGCCTCCACATGCTGCCTGGGCCTGCGCGGTAGGAACACTGCTGCTGCCAGCACCGCCACCCCTCCGATGGCGAGCACCTGAGTGGATGGAGAGGGGATGAGTGGGTTGGCATTGGGGAAAAGGAGGGGACTAAGAGGCAGGGCAAGCCATGAGTACCGCTGCTGCTAGCACAGCCACCCCTCCGATTGCGAGCACCTGAAGGGGTGAGGGGGATGAGAGGGTTGGCATTGGGGATGGAGGAGACTAAGAGGCAGGGCGAGGTATGAGCACCGCTGCTGCCACCGCAGCCACCCCCGTCTGATGGCGAGCGCCTGAGAGAGGGCAATGTGGTGGGTGCGAGTGAGTGCAGACAGAAATGAGCCATGCGTGCTGCTGACTTTTGAGTCGACTCAGAAGTCACCTCGCAGTGTCTGATGGCGAGCGCCTGAGAGAGGGCAATGTGGTGGGTGCGAGTGAGTGCAGACACGTGAAGAGAGGGTATTTTTGAGACGTCAAATAAAACCCACCCCCCTCTGATGGCGAGCGCCTGAGAGAGGGCAATGTGGTGGGTGCGAGTGAGTGCAGACAGCATGAGCCATGCGTGCTGCTGCTGTGAGCCATCCCATCCTGACACACTCACATGATTGGTAATACCTCCGAGCCCAAGCATCCACCGCTGCACTATGCTTATCCCCATGTCACAACACACCCACGTGCCATCCCATCCTGACACAATCACATGATTGGTAATACCTCCGAGCCCAAGCAACCACTGCTGCACTTGCTCCACCATGCTTATTCCCATGTCACAACACACCCATGTGCCAGTGCATCCCATCCCATCCCATCCCATCCCATCCCATCCCATCCCATCCCATCCCATCCCATCCCATCCCATCCCATCCCATCCCATGTCACTCACATGCTTGGCGATAGGTCCCAGCCCATCCATCCACCGCTGCACCTGCCCCATCATAATCACATGCTTGTCTGCCCCACCACACTCTCACTCACATGCTTGGCGATAGGTCCCAGCCCATGCATCCACCGCTGCACCTGCCCCACCACCCCCACCTTCTCCGCCACTGCACGCCTCCTCGCCCGCCTCATCCCCTTCCGCTGCCCCTGCTGCTGCCTCCTCTGCGCCCCCTCCCCCTCCCTCTCTGCCTTCCCTCCCTCACCCTTTTCTTCTCCCTCCCCCCCTTTCACAACCCCCTGACTAGCACTGCGGCTAGCAGTGATACCAGCACTCGCAGCACTGCCAGTGCAGTGACTAGCGGCACTGCCAGAGGCACTTTTGCTAGAGCTCCCAGTCCCAGTGCCAGTACCAGTCCAGCCACTGCTGGCACTCCACCGCCCACCACCGTTCTCCACCTGAGAGCTCTCATTCACAGCCCCTTGACTGGCACGTGGGCGTCGCTTCAGCGGGGAGCTCTTACAAGGAGACTGCTTATAAGGGGACGCGGTTTGGCCGTAGGTTGCAGCGTCGGTCGCAGCGCTGCTGCTGGGGCAGCTGCTGTCTCTCCTGCTGCTCTCTCTCCTGCTGCTGTCCCTCCTGCTGCTGTCCCTCTTGCTGCTGCTGTCCCTCCTGCTGCTGCTGTGAACGCCACACCTCTCCTTGGATTTAATCCTGGATGTGTCGCATACACCTGCCGCTGCTGCTGCTCCTTGTGTGCCTGAACCTTCTTGGATGGCTGAACTTTCTGGGGTGGCTGGGCCTTCTTGCAGTGATGCTAGTGGTAATTGCGCTGCTGCCCTGCCTGCTGCTGACATGCACCCCTCTGCTCCTGCTTCAGCCCCTGCCAAAGTCGGTTCCACTATAGATGTCTCAGCATTTTCCATCTCTGCTGCTGCCACTGGCATTGTCACTCCTCCTCCACCTCTCAGCCCCAATCCTTCCTCACCTCCTCGTCCTCCTCCTCCTTCCAACCTGCCCATCACACTCCCTTCCGACCTTGCTGGGCCTCCCCCAAGTGCTCTCAAACTGCCAGCACTACCAGCAGCGCCATGCCCTCTCATCAACATGCGCTGCCCCACCTGTCCCCTCGCCTGTCCCCCTTGCCCCTCCCTCCGCTGTCTGCGCACCTCCTCCCAGAACCGGTCATCCTCTACCCACCGCTGCAGCAGCAGACCCAAGTGCTCCCCCTTTCCCCCACCCTCCCTCCTTCCCACACCCTCTCCCCTCCCCAAATCCTCGCTTCTCCCCATCATCCTCGTCCTCCCCACCACCACGCTCTCTCCCCTCCCCACAACCTCCCCCTGCTCCTTCCGCTCCCCCTGGAGCGCGCCCCTCCCCATGCCCCTCCGCCACCCACTGGCATCACTGTACCGACCAGGGAAAGGGCGCAGAGATGCCCTCTGCCCGTCACTCTCAAAGGTAGCAGCAGCACTGCCACTGCCACCGCCACTGTCACTACCACTGTCGCCATTGCAACTTGTGCCCCTGCCATCACAGCCCCTGCTGCTGGTGGTGACATTGCCGCCACAACCACCGCCACTGAAACTGACAGCTGAGCTGACTGATGAAACGCTCTGCTGCTGCCACGTGTTCATCAGCTGAGTCAGCGACCCCACGTCACTGAACCTACGGGGTGGGAAGGTGGAGGAAGGGTCCTCCTCTCGCGTTGCGCCGAAGAGGAAATCACCCAGGCGACAGCTGCTCGCACCAGCACCACCACTGCTGCTGCCAATCCAGGTCGTTGGAACAGCTGAAACAGTTGCAGCTTTGGAGAAGAAAATCTCCCGAGCCACACCCGAGCCTGTGGCCCCTCTGCTGCCCGAACCTGTGCCAGATTCAGATCCCGAACCTGCCGAACCCCAGGCTTCCGAACCTGCACTGGTTTGGACCTCCAGGCCAACAGCGCCAGCAGCAGCAGTCACCGAACCTGCCCCAGTTAAAGCGTGCAAATCAGCACCGCCAACGCCAGAACTGGTAAAGGACCCAATTACGCTGGCCCCTCCAGTGCTGCTACGATTGGATCCTGCAGGCCAGTGGCAGCTGGAGGAAAGGCTGCAGGTGGCAGTGGTGGCAGAAGAAGAGGGGGCATGTAGCTGTGACTGTGTTCGGGCCTCTGCCCTGCTCGCAGCAGCTCTCCTCATCTGTGCGGTCTGTCTGTGGTACGCCCCCCACCGTCCTCCCCTTCCTCTCTCGTCACCTGCCGGCCCAAGACAGAATTCACCAGTATGAATCCCACCAGCACCCACAGCCGCAGCAGCAGCAGCACCACCACCGGCAACATCATTACCAGCAGCACCAACAGCAGGAACGCCAGCAGCACCAGCAGCAGTGCCAGCATCAGCAGCGTTTGCAGTGTTTCCCCCAGCAGAGCACTGCAAATCCACCTTGCGAATACCCAAGCCTGCATCCAGGCTTGCACCCGGCCGCCGTCTAGCCCGCTTACAAGGCCCCTCGTTATCCACCACAAACCCGTCTTCCTGTGCCACCCGCGCTAGAGTGGACGACGCTGCTGCTACACGCTCATTTGGCGATAACTTTACTGCTGCTGCTAGTGATGTTGCTGCTGCTGCTCCTGTTGCTGCTCGTGATGATGGTGATGGTGTGGCTTTGGCAGCAGAGGCGGGACGGGAGACGTTGGGGGGAGACAGGGTGGGAGTGACAACAGAAGGTGGTGTAGCAGTGGAAGAGGCAGAAGGAGCGGGAGAGGCTTGCGTCAAATGCACCTCCCCTCCCTCCCCTTTTTCTCCTTCCTTTCCCACCTCACCTCCTCCCTCCATTCCCCTCTCCTCTCCGCCCCCCTTTCCATCCGCTTCCCCTCCCTGTTTCTTTAGCGCTTCCTCCTCATTCCCCTCCTCCTCTCCATCCACTACCGTCGACCTTTCACTCCCACCATCCTCCTTGTCCCTTGCGCCCACGTTTAGTTGGCTTGATTCCACCTGCTGTCGCACCATGGATGCGATTCTGGCTTTCTCCATCCCTGTCAGCATGAAGCTGGACTTGACGTGAACTCGCGCGCCATTGGTCCATGTCAGCATCTCATCTCGAAACCGCTTCTCCACTATGGCGGGCACTCTGAGGGCTGCGGCACAGAATGTGGATGACATGACAGGATGTGACGACGTGGAAGGTCTTAATAATACCAAGAATAGATGCTTAGATCCCAGACTTAGGATGTTTGGTTGCAAGTCAAGAACATAGAGGTGGGATCACACTATGACTCTCAACACCACGACAAGTGACGCTTACAGGTCTGGCTGAGGATGGTTCCTTGTGAGTCGAGAAGCGAGAGGAGCACTGGATCCACCAGGTTCAGCACAGCGCTGCATGCATGGCGATGAGCATGCATGGCGATGAGCATGCATGGCGATGAGCATGCATGGCGATGAGCATGCATGGCAAAGAGCATGCATGGCGATGAGAATGCACGAGAGAAGCACACGCATACCATGCGTTCACACGTGCAGAACACATGTGCACCACACACATTCTACATAAATTCACGTGCAGCACACATAGAAAGAGCGCGGCATTGCGCCAAGCAACACCGGGGGATGGGTGGCAGTTGAGCGGAGTGGAGTAAGCACAGGAACTCAACTCATGCTCATTTATTGAGCAATGCGGAACAGTGTTAAACAGGCTGAACTGTAGAGAGCTAATGGTATCAGCAATTGGAGTAACGTATGGGAACAGAAGTATAGAGGGAAGAAAGGAACAACAAAACTTCGTCTGCAGTTGAAAAGAGTGCAACGGAGAGCGCCTGAACGTGGTGGACTGTGGTAGGGAGTGATAGGGAATGGTGGAGAGTGGTAAAGTACGGTGTAGTTTTGCGTAGTGTGATGGGATGACGGTGGAGGTTGGCCACGTACAAGGAGAACTTCGCATTGAAGGCGGGCAGCAGGAGAGCATCCCCTAGAGATGCCTTCACGGACGGTTGAGGACCCGTGGAGAAAACCTTCGATCCAACGGCGACTGGACAAGGGGGGTTAGAAAAGATATCAGTGCTTGTGTTGGTAGTGGTATAAATGTACTCCATATGCACACACACACACACACACACACACACACACACACACACACACACACACACACCCACGCACGCACGCACGCACGCACGCACACACACACACACACACAACAATGGAAACAGACAGGGGATTGAGAGGCAGTCAAATCAAGCAGTTGAATAAGACTTATTGAACTAAAGCAGATGGCAAGGCGATCCATGAGAGGGGGAGGGTGAGGGGTTGGGGGAACGGGTATGTGGGGTTGCGCGTGGTGGTTGTTGGGAAGGAATACGTTTTGTACAGAGGCAAACCACCCACCTTGCACGGAGAACTGATCGCCTGCAGAATCCTCCGGACATGCACCGCCAGAGCCATGGAAATATGTCGATCATGCAGCATGACACACACCACCACCCCCAGCCATGCTCCATGTGGCACACCCCATCACGCAAGAGCATTCCATTTCATGAATCGCTCCCACCACATGCTCCACATGCACCACATGCGTCACATGCACCACATGCGTCACATGCACCACATGCTCAGATGCACCACATGCGTCACATGCACCACATGAGTCATATGCACCATACGCATCACATGCACCACACGCATCACATGCACAACACGCATCACATGCACCAAACGCATCACATGCACCAAACGCATCCCATGCACCACACGCATCTCATGCACCACACGCATCCCATGCACCATAGCATCCCATGCACCAGACGCATCCATGCACCACACGCATCCCATGCACCAGACGCATCCATGCACCACACGCATCCCATGCACCACACGCATCCCATGCACCACACGCGTCCCATGCGTCACATGCCCACAACATGCATAGAGCGGTGCATACAACACACAAATCAAAGGCACCACCATTTCAGGTCAGCGTCGGAAGGCTAGTTCCTGAGAACCATTGGAGAACCGTAACGGTAAGTGTCAAGAAAAAGAACCGTTGATTGTAGCGGCCGTTGTCGAACCGTTACCTTGATTCCCTTGCACGTTGACGCATTCCAAAACTGCACATATGGAATACGAGAACGGATATATTAAAAATAGCTAGTGGAGCGAGAGTTAACCATTCTCGACCATTCTCGACCGCACGCAACCTATATTCGTGTATACAACGTGGTTGTCACTCCAACATTTAACTTTCAAGAGAATTTTATGGTATCAACAACGTACCCTGCACGCAAATTGTTCCCGGCATTGTCGCTCCTACGTCAAACAAGCAATGGTTGCTCTCTGTTTGACAAAGAATCCGCTTTGATTCGCAGTCACAGCTGTTTCGCAGTCAGGATGCTGCAGAAGTGGAACCTAGTCGGGTCCTGATTGCGGTTGGAATCGGTACGCGCGTCGCATTTGTCAAAATACTAAGATTATGCTAACTTTTCTAATAGTTTAGGTTGGTTTCTTTCGGATCAACTTGTCGACCAGCGTATCGCACGGATAATGCGGAGCAAGGATGCGAGGTTGATGCATGAAAACCAAGCGCACGTTCTAAAAAGGACTCTTGTTACAGAAGTTTCAAGCACGCGCGTCTGTTTCTGTGCTGCACAATCAATGCCAGCCGTTGTTTTGTGGTTGCAGCAGCCTGACCAGCGGATGCTTTTGATGGCGGCTCTGGTTCTGGGCTTGTCATGCTGTGTGTGCTTGCGGCTGCCACAAGCCCCAGAACGGATCCATTCCATACCATACACGCCGCACTCGAACCCTGCTATATCTTTCTACATCCTACTCAGCCGCGTTTAACCTCGAGACGCAACAGTGATCCTGCCAGCGATCATGCCTGACCCTCCATCAACTTGCATTGCACCTCACCAAAAATGGAGCACGAGTTCCGTGGAGTAGAGATGGGAAACAGAGAGCAACAGAACAGACCCAGTTTTGTGGTATGGATGTGTGAGAGGAGGTAAGGGGAACAGAAGGGTTTGGGAGATGTGAAGATGGGTGCAAGAGGGTAGGTCAACATACAACATCAAACGGGATGAGTGATGGACGGGATGTAGACCGTACGATACGCTCCTTCAAATCTGACCCACCGTAGGATGAGGAGAATTCGTTCTGCCACTCCGATCCGAAGCATCAATCATTTTTGGGACCACCTTCCGGATCTTGCGGACCTGCTGGACCCATCCCGATCGCAACTGTACCTGAACAACCTCGCTCCACGTCATTTCTACACCAAGCCTACACTTCGCTGCCACGGTGGCAACCAGAAAAATCCGACGGCCTGATTGACTGCTGCAGCAGTAAAGGTACCAGCAAGCACGATGATTGTGAAAAAACTACACTTCAACCTTCTTGTCAGTTAACAAAATGTACAAATTGCATCCCTTATAATCATCTTGATAATTGCTTCCCATGTCATTAATGAGCTGAGCATCAAGGGAACCATCCTCGGTACCTAACTCCTAGCAGAGAACTAGCAGCTAAACCCGTCCCAGTATCAACCATATGCCCTCCCTTTCTGGAGTGCAGGAAAAGGTGTTGGCACTGCACCGACGACATCGCTTCGCTGCAGCACGCAGCATGCACCACACAGCCATCTGCTCCCATCCCACCACCTTTTCTGCGCCGGGAGCACTAAAACTGTACGGTCGCAACCGTCTACACCCGGCGCCCCACTTAACCCCCTACTGTTTTCAGACCAGCGGTAATTGCCCTGGCCAGAGCCGTAGCTGCTGCAGCATGCAGCATGCGAGGCAAACCCCAGGGCTGGAAGGGAGCTGCAGCAGATATCCATAACTGGAGAGAGTGACAAGTAGCAGGTGAGCGGATGAGAGCAAGGGAGAGTCAGATTACAAAGGAAAAGGGGGCGAGATTACTGTGAAAAAAGGGAGGGGCGGAGGGGAGGGGGGAGGAGACCCAGAGTTAGTGAGAGGAGGTAAGCTGTGAAGGAGATGAGTGGGCTGTTAGCGAGAACGAGGAAAGAGAAAGAAGGCGAGGAGCTACTGTATGGCAGCAAGATGTAGGTCTAAGTGGCGCTTGAGTGGCAAATGGCAGAGGCGCTTGGCAGAGGCGCTTGAGAGGCGATTGAGAGGCGCTTGAGAGGCGATTGGCAGAGGCACTTGGCAGAGGCACATGAGAGGCGGTTTACGGAATTGCCGCTATTCCAACTCAGATGGCACTGGACGAGTCATTACTGCGACATGGCTCCTGCACCTGGTGGCGGTCCCATGGTAGGCATCATAGCCATGGGCATGCCAAGCACACCCCTCCCTCATGGGACCCATCCCCCCCGTAAACCCTAAACCCGCACAGCACTGAGATGGGTCACTGTGACATGGCTCCTGCACCTGGTGGCGGTCCCATGGTAGGCATCATAGCCACGGGCATGCCAGGCACACCCCTCCTGGGCAACATAACCACCATAAACCCTAAACCCGCATGGCGCTGAGATGGGTCATCACTGCGACATGGCTCCAGCACCTGGTGGGGGGCCCATGGAAGGCATCATAGCCATGGGCATGGGCATGGGCATACCCATCGGCATGCCTGGCGCTCCCCTCATGGGCCCCATCCCCCCCATCCCCCCCATGCCCCCCATCCCTCCCATGCCTCCCATCCCCCCCATGCCTCCCATCCCTCCCATCCCTCCCATGCCCCCCATCCCTCCCATGCTTCCCATTCCTCCCATGCCCCCCATTCCTCCCATTCCTGCTGCTCCCATGGCTGTAGCGAGGAGGCCTGGCATGGCTGTAGCAGGGCGGGCTGTAGCGGGCATGCCTGTAGTAGCACCCAGCATGGGTGTAGCAGCAGCAGCTGGGCCTGTTCCTGCAGGCAGGCCGGCTGTAGCGTGGACGGCTGTAGCGGGGAAGGCTGTAGCGTGCATGGTTGTAGCAGGGAGGCCAGGCGGCATGGAGATGGGGATGAGGGAGGAGGAGGGGAGGGTGAGAGGACTTGGCAGGCGAGGTCTAGGTTAGGCTTGACTGGGAGAGGTGGCATCTGGCTCATTGTACCGGGGACTGAGGTCATCCTGTAACGAGGACATGCCATTGGGTGGGAGGGGGGGAGGAAAGAAGGATAGGTTAGGTAAGGCTTGACTGGGAGAGGCGGCATCTGGCTCATTGTACCGGGGACTGAGGTCATCCTGTAACGAGGACAGGCCAAGTGGGTGGGAAGGGCGGGAGGAGAAGTGAAAGTTAAGATTGACCGGGAGTACAGGGGACTGAGGTCTTTCTGTAATGAGAACAGAGCAAGTGGGTGGGAGGGAGGGGAGGAGGGATAAGTTAGGCTTGACTGGGAGAGGCGGCATCTGGCTCATTGTACGGGGGACTGAGGTCATCCTGTAACGAGGACAGGCCAAGTGGGTAGGCACGGAGGGAGGAAGAAGGATGGACGTGTGGTTTGCATGTAACACGAGCTTGTGTGCACGCATGCATGACTTTGGAAGTGGGCGCGTGCTCCCATACGTGTCCGTGAGGAGGGAGGGAGGGAGGGAGGGAGGGAGGGAGGGAGATCACGAGGGTTGTTAGAGCCTGGGCGAGAGGTGTGTGGGGATGGATAGGTGTGCTTATACACATGAATGATCTAGAGGGTTTCGACTCTCTGACGGAAAAAGGAGGCGAATGTGTGGTGTGAAGGAGGGGAGTGAGAGAGGGAGTTAGGAGGTGTAGGGGAGACGGACACCATGCACTCACCTGTGAACAAGTGAGAGGATGCTGTCTCTCAGCTGAATCAGGAAGTGTGTGTGCATGTGATGTGGAGGAGGGGAGAGCACATTCTTAGAAAGAGAAGGGGGGAATAGGGAGCGCACTCACCCATGAACAACCGAGAGGATGTTGTCTCTCAGCCGAATCAAGAGGCCGTTGCACTCCTGCGACTGGGAGGGGAGTGGGAAAGCAGCAGAGGCGGGGGCAGCAGCAGCAGCAGCAGCAGCAGCAGCAGCGGCGGCGGCGGCGGCGGCGGCAAAAGCAAGTTAGCAGCAAAAAAGGCAGTGTTCCTACTCAACAAGAAGTAACAGGTGGAGGCGGGTGGAAGCAGGTGGAAGCAGGTGGAGGCAGGTGGAGGCAGGTGGAGGCATGAATGAAGTCTTTAAGGTACGAGAACCAGGTTACCCTCTGTCATAACAGCGGTATGCCCACCTTGTTTGCCGCCAGTGTCGCCTTGACTTGGGCGATGAGCTCCACGTTCTGTTCGAGTAGCTTATTGACTTATGTGTTGTCTAAAAAGGCTTTGCTTGTTACTGGGGAGCGGGTTGAAAAAAGGCGCACCTTGTTTGCCGCCAGTGTCGCCTTGACTTGGGCAATGAGCTCCACGTTTTGTTCGAGTAGCTTGTCGGGTGACAGGTCCCCTGTGAGAGAGGAGAGGAGAGGAGAGGCGAGGAGAGGCGAGGAGAGGAGAGGAGACACAACGGGTCGACTTTAGAGGCACCTCAAAGGGACTTGGGCATGAGGTCCACGTTTTGTTCGAGTAGCTTGTCGGGTGATAGGTCCCCTGCAGAGAGGAGAGGAGATGCAACGGGGCGACTATGAAGCACCTCTAAAGCCTTGACTTGGGAGATGAGCTCCACGTTTTGTTCGAGTAGCTTGTCGGGTGATAGGTCCCCTGAGACGGGAGGGGGGTGGGGGGATGGAGAGGAGAGGCAGCTTGACTTGACCCCCTACAGCGACCACGACGTGTCTGCTTGACTCGGGCAATGAGCTCCACGTTCTGCTCGAGTAGCTCGTCGGGAGAGAGATTTCCTTGTGTGAGAGAGAAGAGGAGAGGAGAGGGCACACACGGGGACCAAGGAGTCAAATCTGAAACGACTTGGAAGGTTCTACATGCGTATTTCAAGCAGCTTGTCCAGTGACCAAGCCCCTGATGAGAGGGGAGAGGCAACAGGGATTAACGGAGAGAATGGGTCCAGTCCAGTCCGAATGGCAGACAGGCAGGCGAAGTATGGAATCATTAAGTATTACAGAGATTGATAGGGCAATGCAAGGCAAGGAATGGAGTGGGAGTGGGAAGGGGTGGGGGGGGACGAGATGGAGGGGGGCAAATGGAGAAGGAAAGGGAGGAAAGGAAAGGGAGGTGGGGGAAGGAAAGGGAGGTGGGGGAAGGAAAGGGAGGTGGGGGAAGGAAAGGGAGGTGGGGGAAGGAAAGGGAGGTGGGGTCGGCAACATGGAGGGAGGAGCCGGGAAATGGAGGCGGGCGCGGGGAAATGGGGGAACGGGAAAACGGAAAGAGGTACAGCAAGCATACCGGATAGCAAGCTGCCGCTGTTGTCAGCACCATCTGTATGCGTGTCAGCAGGACCACACCCATCACCACCACCACCCCCTGCTCCTGCCCCAGATACACCCGCACCAGATGCGCCTCCCCCTGCCCCTCGCGCCCCAGCACCTTCCCCGGTCGCTGTTTTGACCATACCCTGCCCCCCTGCCCTCGCCGTCCCCCCTCTAGCAGCGTTTCCGCCTGTTCCCCCTGCCCCCACTTCTCCGCCTGCCCCTGCTGCTCCTCCCCCTCCTCCTGCTGCGGGTTCCCCTGCTGCTGCCTGCACTCGTTGCTGCTGGTCCTTGTCCTGTACAGCAGGAGGCATGGTGGAAATGGGAAGAAAGAGGGGTGCGCAGTGGGGTGAAAAGCAGATGGAAATGGGATTTTCGAATCAGTAAATAACTGTTTCCCCGCGCTGCTGCTGCTGCCTGCACTCGCTGCTGCTGGTCCTTGTCCTGTATGCGAACAGCAGGGGAGGCGGAGGGAATTGGGTGGAAGTTTGGTGGGGTGAAAGTGGGAAGAAAATGAACTTTTTTTTGTCGATGCAACAACCAGTTCCCCTGCTGCTGCCTGGTCCTTGTCCTGTATGCGAACAGCAGCAGGCACGGAGGAAATGGGGTGAAAGTGAGGTGACAGTGGGGTGGAAAGGTGTTGGAATTGAAAGACTGCTTAGTTGACTCAGAACTTGGTACACGCTGCTGCTGTATGCACACGCTGCAAGGGGTCAGTGCAAACAACAGGAGGCACGGCGGAAATGGGGTGAAGGGCGGAATGGGGTGGAACGGAAGTGGGGTGGGAGTGGGGCAGAAACGGGGAGAAACAGGATGGTTGGAGATGGGATGGAAAGCAGAGAATAAAGAAGAGGACAGTTCAGAAGTTGAGAGGCAGAGGGAAGCACAGAAGCAGGGGAAGATGGAGAGGGAGAGGGAAGCACAAAATTCTGCTTGTAACAACCTATCAGCAAATGGATGTCGTTCGAGGGAGAGACGCAGAAGCCGAGAGCGGGAGGGCGTAGGAAAGAGGGAGGGGGGGGGGGGGGGGGGGGGGGGGGGGGGACAGTAGGAGAGAGAGGGGAGAGTAGAGGAGAGAGGGGGGGTGGAGTCTGCTTGCCTTCTTGTCCTTTGGCTTCTTGGCTGCTGTGGTCTCCTCCGCCCTCCGCCTCTTGCCCGCCTCCTTCCTCTGCGTTACAGGGGCAAGAGAGCAGACGATACAGAGGGGGTCGGAGAGAGGGGGAGAGTGGGGAAAGTGGTCCGCTTGCCGTTTTGGCGTTTGGCTTCTTGGCTGCTGTGATCTCCTCCGCCCTCCGCCTCTTGCCCGCCTCCTTCCTCTGCAATACCGAGGAAGGGGCAGGCAGACAACACGCAATGGGCAGATCGAGAGACGAGAGACAGGGGAATTGGGGGGAGAGAAAGCGAGAGAGATAAGAGGAGGCGCCGAGGGGGGTAGAGCTATGTTGGATTGAGATGGCTGATTCAGGGCCATGAGTGCCAAATATGCCTCCACACCCCAAGAAACGGCCACATCAGGTATCACCTCCCCCGGGTGAACCCATTGTGACAGGCGCCTGGAACGTCGAACCACCACACCAAGTGTCACCTCCCCACGTCCGGCGCATGAAGCAGGCCCCTCAAAAGCAAGACCACCGCAACAAATACCACCTTCCCCAGATGGGACATTTGACGCAAGCACCTCAACTGCCAAATCACCCCACCAGATATCACCTTCCCCGGGTGCGGCCTTCAAGGCAGGCGCCAAACCACCGCACCAGATATCACCTCCCCCAGGTGCGGCCTGGCTCACCTGCAGCCATTTGCAGCGCAGAGCCACGTCCCGGGCGGTCTTCTCCGGGAGGGTTGCTGCGATCTTGAGGTAGCGCTGCGCGGGGGGAAACTGATCCGCGGGGAACCTAGGGGGCGGAGGAGGAGGTGGGGGGGGGGGGGGGGAAGGGGGGGGACGGCTCAACAGTCTTCTCCGGCAGGGACGCCGCGATCTTGACTTGAGGTAGCGCTGCGCGGGGGGAACTGATCCGCGGGGAACCTGGGGGTGAGGAAGCGGGGACAGAGCAAAGCGGAGGAGAGAGAAGACGGGAGAATATTGCCCGGAGATTTGAGACGTCTCAACTCAAACTTCTCCGGCAGGGTCGTCGCGATCTTGAGGTAGCAGCGCTGCGCGGGGGGAACTGATCAGGGGGGGTTTAGGGTTCTAGGAGACACGAGCCGCGTCGTTGCCATCTATCGCAAGTGGACCGAACGCACTGAAACCAGGAGGTTCATCGAGCGAGTTTCCGCACCAAACGAGCCATCGAGCGGGCTTGCTGTCGAACGCACGCACGCGTTCTAAACGACACTGCCCAGCCTGTCGCAACGGAGGAGTAGGGGGATAAACTGACGCTGGAAAGCGCGGGCCGCGAATCGGTTCCTAAGAAACTCGCCAATGCCACTGATATCATTGTCACATGAAAACGACGACGGGAGGCCTCTACACGGCCGTGCGACCGTGCGACGTTGCACCCTCGAACAATTGCATCGCGCACCCATCCAAACCCTTCAGCGACTTTCGTGAAAAAACTCTAACCCGTTCAGGTGCAGCAGTATAATGGCTCCCTCCTCTACTTTTCCCTCGCTATCTTTCTCTATCATGAAAAGCGCCAGCCAGTCCGAGCCCCACCTTGCGAGCCCTTGATCCAGCAGCCGTTGCTCCTCAGCCGTCCATGCTTCCGACAAGTACGGGAAGTGCAGCAGCTGAAGCTGCACGTGCAGCGGCGGAGGAGACGACGGCGGCGCGGGAAGAGCCAGCGGCGGTGGCGGCGGCGGCGATGGCGTCGCCGCCCGCGTCGGTGTTGCCGTTGCAGCAGCGGCTTCTGCTGCTGACGGCGATCTTTGAGGCGCTTCGGAAACGGCGGCGACGGAAGGAGATTCTCGAGGTGCCTCAGGGAATGCGGCGGCAGACGGCGCTGCGGGTGGTGCGCTTGCGGCTTCCGGCGACGCTGCAGCGGCGCTGGCACTGGCGCAAGCGGCGGCAGCGGCGGCAACGGCGGCTGAGATGGCGGCGGGCGAGGCTTGCGCCTTGCTCGATGCAGGCTGCGGTTTAGCGGAGGCAGGTTGCGCTTTGGCGGAAGCAGGTTGCGTTTTGGCGGAAGCAGGCTGCGCTTTGGCGGGAACGGGTTGCGGCTTCGCGGAAGAAAGCTGCGCTTTAGCCGATGCGGAGGGGGTGGACGCAGGGAGCTTGGGTCGGGGAGCGGGAGGAGCGGCGGCCGCTTGCATGTAGCCGTTGGAGGAAGGCGCTTCTCCATTGGCCATCGACGAGCCTCCATCAACACGAGCCTCGCCGCGGGGTCGAGCTTTCGCGAATCGCAAACATTCGCGAAGTGCGTTTTACGAAGAGCAATTAGGGAATGAGCTATGCAATGTGGACGCGGAAGTCAGACTGTATTAGAGAAAAACTGTTACGGAATAATAATGTACGAAAATATGTAGTTAGTTGCGAGTGTGAAACCTAGAATGCCGTGAAGCTGAAGCCGAAGCGCACTAACTTGAGCTACCACTACTTGACAAATCTAGAAACACTCTACATATCCCTGGTGGACCTTACCAGATCAAAAGTCCATTTGTCGGGTGATGGGGTTTTGAGCTCCCTCGCTCTCTTCTCGCTTGGAACCCTGACAGAGCAGGCATCACAGCACAGCAGGAAGCAGGTGTTGGTTTCCCTGCTGATGTTGGTTGTCCCTGCAACCCTCGGGAATGTCGGCTGGCAGGGCCTGGGCTGGGAAAAGGTCAAGGGAGGGTGTGGAGTGGGTTTCAGAGAGTTCAGAGTTAAAAGGAGGGAGGGAGGGATGAACCCGAGGGAGGGGAAAGCGAATTCCCCAAAACACTTGGAGACAACACTGGGAGTTGTCGAATCGAGTCAAAAAGGGCTTGCCAAAACGTTTTCTGTATTCCCAGAGGATGGGAGAATGCCGCACGGTGAGAATTTCGGCATCCTTTTGTGTGTTTTGGTGATTCGTTGAGCTCCTCAAGGCAAACCACCCCGGATAAGGATGGAGGATTCGCCCCCATCTCATGTGTTGAGAGAGTGACCAAAAGTGCGTTGTGACGAACATTCGTAAGGGTGCGTTCCTGGCGAGTGTCAAGCTTCCGGTCATCCGCGGATGACCGGAAGTTGGACCCACTTTGGGCCATCCGAGACCAACTTCGGGTCTTCCGGCCTAAAATTGCCCCTGTTTCCGGAAGACCTGAAGTTGGACAGGGAGTTTGACCCAAAGCATCGGGCCTTCCCAGGAAGGCCCGAAGCTTTGACACGGGCCAAGAACTCACCTAAGTTTTTACGATCGACTGAGGAGGACCCAGGGGATCACGCGAAAGCAAAACCACCACTTGCTCAGAAGTCGAAGGACTAAACAAAAAATATTGGGCTGTATGTAAACTGTTTGAACAGATGTTCTCACTTCGACGTCTTCGCCAAACCTGGTGACCGTACCAGAATCCAAAGGGCAAGTGTTTCCTGGTTCGGAAAAGCGGGAGATTTTTAGAAAAGTGAAAGTATATACCTGACGTGGAAATGACGTGGCTGCACCTGCAAAACCCAAACGGCGCCCACGCCGCCATCACCACGGTCGTGGCGTATTTCTCCAACAAGAGAGGCCTCATTTGGAAAATCCCAAGAAGAGCGGAATGCATGCCAATGTATACGCACAATCAAAGACAGATAACCTAATCTCTAAAAGAAAAAAAAAGTATGTAGAGATTTGACACTTCAGGATTATATAGTCTAGTCTTTTGTTCACCGCCTCCTCCTAAGATTGCATGGCCGCAACAGCGCATCGCGCCATTCACGCCGCGTCGCCTCTTCGATTGCCGACGGGCCTTGCGTGCCTCAAAGCCAGACTGCCAACGCAGGCCCACGCGCCGAACCGCGTGTCTCCGCTGCTGCTCCTGCGACAGTTCGAAACGCCTCAAACGCTGCGCCATTCTCGCGCGTCTCGACTCGCCCATCAAATCGTCGCATCCGCCGCCCTCCCCGCTCAACTCGCCGCCCCTCCCGCGCGTTCGCACAGGCGAATCTTTCCCGTGCGAACGATGGCGACTGCGACGAATGCGAGTGCGACTGCTGGCGACGCTCCCGGGAAAGTGAGCCTCTGGAAAGTGCCTATCAGTGATTGTATTCTCGAAGCGCCTCTAGGCGATCCCCTGAATCTGCTACCAGTTGTTGCATTCTTACTTGAGGCGGCGCCCGCCCGCCCACCCTCCTCCGACCCCCCATTCCTCCCCCACCTTGCGTACTCGCATCGTTCAAGATCGCGCTGTGCCAGCTGGCACTGGGTGCTGACAAGTCGTTCAAGATCGCGCTGTGCCAGCTGGCACTGGGTGCTGACAAGTCGTTCAAGATCGCGCTGTGCAAAGCCCTTCGGAGTTCTCTGGAACAACTCTCTTCTCTCTCTTCTCCCTCCGCCACGCGCCTCTTCCCGGGCGGGCGCTCATGCCATTCGCAGTTCAAGATCCCACCGTGCCAGCTAGCAACCCGACAGACAGCTATTGGCTGAAAAAAAAAAAAAAAAAAAAAAAAAAACGCACTAATGTTTTCTCCCCCATCTACCTTCCCACCCACCCACCCCTCCCTGCCAGTTCAAGATCGCGCTGTGCCAGCTGGCAGTGTGTGCTGACAATCGAGACTTACAGATGCCCCCTCTTCCACCTCCCCCTCCCCTTCCCCTCCCTTATTCCCCCACATTGCGCATGCGCAGTTCAAGATCGCGCTGTGCCAGCTGGCAGTGGGTGCTGACAAGGAGCGCAACATCGCGCACGCGAGGGACATAATTGGCCGCGCCGCGGACCAGGGCGCACAGCTGGTGCTGCTGCCGGTATGATGGGGGGGGAGAGGATGGGGGAACAACGAAGGGCGTAGAGAGGGGGGTAAGGGGGGAAGAGGATGGGGGAACAACGAAGGGCGTAGAGAGGGGGGTAAGGGGGGAAGAGGGTGGGGGAAGGAGTTCCCGCCGCGGACCAGGGCGCACAGCTGGTGCTGCTGCCGGTATGGGGGAACAAAGAGGGGAGAGGGCGGATGGGCGGTAGAGAGTAGGTGTGTATCAGTGTGTGGATATATTTAGCAGCTCCTCGTTCCTCCCCGTTCTGATGCCGTTCTTCCCTGTTCCCTCCCGCTTCCCTTAACTTCAAGTCAGTCCCCCTGATCCCCCCACATTCTCACATCCCCCCACATTCTCACATCCCCCCACATTCTCACATCCCCCCACATTCTCACATCCCCCCACATTCTCACATCCCCCCACATTCTCACATCCCCCCACATTCTCACATCCCCCCACATTCTCACATCCCCCCACATTCTCACATCCCCCCACATTCTCACATCCCCCCACATTCTCACATCCCCCCACATTCTCACATCCCCCCACATTCTCACATCCCCCCACATTCTCACATCCCCCCACATTCTCACATCCCCCCACATTCTCACATCCCCCCACATTCTCACATCCCCCCACATTCTCACATCCCCCCACATTCTCACATCCCCCCACATTCTCACATCCCCCCACATTCTCACATCCCCCCACATTCTCACATCCCCCCACATTCTCACATCCCCCCACATTCTCACATCCCCCCACATTCTCACATCCCCCCACATTCTCACATCCCCCCACATTCTCACATCCCCCCACATTCTCACATCCCCCCACATTCTCACATCCCCCCACATTCTCACATCCCCCCACATTCTCACATCCCCCCACATTCTCACATCCCCCCACATTCTCACATCCCCCCACATTCTCACATCCCCCCACATTCTCACATCCCCCCACATTCTCACATCCCCCCACATTCTCACATCCCCCCACATTCTCACATCCCCCCACATTCTCACATCCCCCCACATTCTCACATCCCCCCACATTCTCACATCCCCCCTCATTCCTACTCATGCCCTCCCATTCCCCCCCATTTCCCCCTTTTCCTGCTTCTCTATCCTTCTCCCACTTCTATTCCACTTTCCTCCTACTCCTTCCCCCGTCTCCTCCTTCCCCCACACCTCTTCCCCTCCCCCCTCTTCCATTCCCCTCCCCCATCCCCTCCCCTTCCCCTCCCCGTCCCCTTCCCCTCCCCTCCCCTTCCCCTCCCTTCCCCACCTTCTTCCATCCCCAGTACCCCCTCATTGCTACCTCGCTTCCAGAAAATGTGAAACTGCCCTTATTCCAACGACAACTTCCCCCCCCTCACCTCTTCCCCCCCCCCTCCCCCCCCCTTCCCCCTCCCCTGCTCTCCCCACACTCCCCCACCTCCCCCTCCCTCTTATTGCGACCTCATTTCCAGGAAATGTGGAACTGCCCTTATTCCAACGACAACTTCCCCGCCTACGCCGAGGAAATTTCCCCAGAAGATTCCTTCGCCTCCTCTCCCTCCGCTTCGATGCTCGCTGACGTGGCGGGGAAGCATGGCGTGACTATAGTGGGGGGTTCCATTCCCGAGAGGAGGGAGGGGCGTCTGTATAATACCTGCCTTGTGTTTGGCAGCAAGGGGGAGTTGAAGGGGCGGTTTAGCAAGGTGAGGGGGGCTGGGACGTTACTGTGAGAGAGCGTGACTATAGTAGGGGGCTGTGTCTCTGGAAGGAGGGAGTGAGAGAGGGGGATGGATTGAAGGTGAGGTGTGTGGGAGAGATGACACATGTGCGCTTAGTCAGGCAAGGTGCGGTTTAGTCAAGCCAGGTGCGGTTGAGTCAGGTCAGGTGCGGTTGAGTCAGGTCAGGCGCGGTACTCAACTCAACCTGGCGAACCTGACACGCTCTCCTCGTCCTATGGGACCATACATGAAATTTCGAGGCGCCTCAAAGTATGCTCTCCTCTCAGGCTCAGGCGCCGTATGGTCCGTATGTCTGATTTTGAGAGGTCGTCTAAGCACACTTACTATCTCCTCTCAGTTGCACCTGTTTGACATTGACATCCCGGGGAAGATCACTTTAAGGAGAACAGGGAGTCTGACGTGCTCACACACACCCTCCCCATGTTCCCCTCCCTTTCCAAACCTATGTTCCCCTCCCTTTCCCTTCCCCCACCGCCCCCGTGCTGTCCCATCAGCTCCATCTGTTCGACATTGACATCCCCGGAAAGATCACATTCAAGGGGATCTGGGAGTCTGACGTACTCTCCCCTCCCTGTTCTCACACACACCCTCTCCCTGTTCTCACACACACCCTCTCCCTATTCTCACACACACACCCTCTCCCTGTTCTCACACACACCCTCTCCCTGTTCTCACACACACCCTCTCCCTCTTCTCACACACACCCTCTCCCTCTTCTCACACACACCCTCTCCCTGTTCTCACACACACCCTCTCCCTGTTCTCACACACACCCTCTCCCTGTTTTCCTCCCTCCCCCACCCTGTTCCCCTTCTCCCCTCTTCCCCCCCTGGTCTTTTTTTTTTCCTATCAGCTACACCTATTTGACATTGACATCCCGGGGAAGATCACATTCAAGGAGTCTGACACGCTCACACGTGGCGAGCAGCCATTGGTCGTTGACACAGGTGGGCAGCGGCGACTCTGCTTCGTATCATTGACAGGCTGTACTCAATTCGTTGTGATTGAATCACTTCTGAGTTCAGTTCTCCCAAACTCTCAGAAGTGCATCTGATAATTGGCAGGTCGGCTCGGCTAGTTCAGTTCTCCAATCTCCATTCAATCTTCGCCTCTTTCCCCCTCAATCTGCACGTCCCTTTCCCCTCTCTCCCTCCCCTGCTCCCCCTCTCTCCCTCCCCAAGACGTGGCACGAGTGGCGGTGGGCATATGCTGCAACATCCGTTTCCCTGAGCTCACAATGCTCTGGCATCTGCCAAGGCAATCCAAGGCCAGATGTCAGAGCATCTGCCCAATCTCCGCCTTTCATCCCTCCCAACCCCCCTCTCGCCCCTGCCTGGCCAGACGTGGCACGAGTGGCGGTGGGCATATGCTATGACATTCGCTTTCCTGAGCTCGCCATGCTTTATGCCGCTCTAGGTATGCTCTTTTTTGCTTCTGAACTGGCTCATGCTCTTGCTCTTGCTCTTGCTCTTGCTCTTGCTCTTGCTCTTGCTCTTGCTCTTGCTCTTGCTCTTGCTCTATGCCGCTCGAGGTATGCTGTTTTATGCTTTTGAGGCGCCCAAAACTCTTCTTTGTTACTGAACTGGCTCTGGCTCTGGCTCTTGCTCTTGTTTTTGTCTGGCATGCCCAGGGGCATGTGAGTGAGTGAGGGACCCTGCTCCGTTCCCTTCCCCACGTTTCTCTTTGTTTCCGCGGCGCAAGGTCGAATCTCTCCTGTCCATTCCCCACTCCCTCCCTCTGCCGCCGCCCGTCCCTTTTCTCCCTGTCACCTCCCCACGCCCACTTGCCATCTCTCAGACGCACACCTCATCTGCTACAGGGGTGCATTCAGCATGACCGCTTCCCCCTTCCACACTTTCCCTTCTCCCTCCATATGCCTACCTCCCAAATCAGGCGCGCACCTCATCTGCTACCCCGGTGCTTTCAACATGACCACTGGGCCGTTGCACTGGCAGCTGCTGCAGCAGGCCAGGTAAGGTTTCGGTGGGTCCGTGTAGGCGCTCCAGAAAGTGGGTGGGTGGGTGGGTGGGTGGGTGGGTGGGTGGGTGGGAGGGAGGGAGGGAGGGAGGGAGGGAGGGAGGGAGGGAGGGAGGGAGGGAGGGAGGGAGGGAGGGAGGGAGGGAGGGAGGGAGGGAGGGAGGGAGGGAGGGAGGGAGGGAGGGAGGGAGGGAGGGAGGGAGGGAGGGTGGGAGGGAGGGTACTGTTCAGACGAGTGTGTTTCAACACACACATCTCAATCGCCAGACATCCATCCTGTGCCCTTGTTAGAACACAGCTTAATATGGCCACCACAGTTCTTTCCTACTATTTCTCCCACCCCTCCCTTCCCTTCCCTTTCTTCCCTCCCATCCCTCTCCTCCCTTCCATCCTCTCCCCTTCCGCGCCTCCCTTCCTGCCCGCCACTCTCTCTCCACACCCATGCTTAACATCCCATTCTCCCTGCTATACCAATCTCTCCTGAAATTTACTCTTTCCCGATTTTCCCCCACTTGCCCCCGACAATTTCGCCCCTACCAACAATGACGTTCCCACCGCTTCTCCCGTTCTTCGCAACTGATGCTGCTACTGCTTTTCCTGCCACCCCACTTGCTTGCCTGACCTCTCGATGCTTCACCTAACTGCAGGGCCGTCGACAATCAGGTAAGTGCTTTCGCTACTCTTTCCACTCTGTCCGCCCTTTATTTTCCCCTTGCCATTTAAAACACCCTTTTTTGTCGTGTCAGTCTTTTTTTCTTCTGTTTCTTCTTTTCATTTCGTAACCAGCATAGGCATGGGGCTGTTGTTTTTTAAAGTGACCGAGTTGCTGACGTGCTTGGATCGCTCCCGCTGCAGGGTATTTTTGGGAATTCTCAAAAATACCCTTATAACGACCGAGTCGCTGACATTCTTGGATCCCTCCCTCCTTTTCCTGTCCTCCCTCTTGCTGTTTCTGCTGCCCAGTTGTTTGTGGCCACGTGTTCACCTGCCCGGGATGACTCAGCGTCGTACCGTGCCTGGGGTCACTCCACCCTGGTTGGGCCGGTGAGAGCAAAGGGGAGGGGGGTTGATGGAGGGTTGACTTTGCGTGGCAGCCTTTTAGCAGTATGTTCTGTCTCAGCATCGTACCGTGCCTGGGGTCACTCCACCCTGGTATGGTAGGGCCGGTGAGAGGAAGCAAAGGGGAGGGGAGGGGAGGGGAAGGGAGGGGAGGGGAGGAGAGAGGAACGGAGAGGAGGGCTTGGGTGGTTAATCTGGCATGGCATCGTTGTCACCTTTTGAGTCAACTCAAAAGCCACCAAGAGGAGGCGCTGGTGGTGGGCGAGGTGGACCTGGCTCAGATTGACAGTCGCAGGTGGGCGGATAGAAGGGTGTAATGCAATGGCATGGCATGGTGCGAGTGGCATGGGTGGTGGAACAGAGAGAGAGCATGAGGAGGCGTTGGTGGTGGGCAAGGTGGACCTGGCTCTTGAGAATTCTCAAAAACCAGCTCGTATCATATGATCTCCCATTTCCCCGTTTGCAGTGTTAGGTCGGTCGAACCGAGCTTGCAGCTTTCTACCCGTTTTCTTCGCTTGAGAGCATGAGGAGGCGTTGGTGGTGGGCAAGGTGGACCTGGCTCAGATGAAACCCTTCCTGTCGTCTTCCCCTCGTGCCGTCTCACACACCCCTTGCTGCCCTGTAACCGCGCTTGCCTCCTGTTTGGAGAAGTAGTGCCGATAATAGAGCATCAGGAGACGCTGCTGGTGGGCGAGGTGGACCTGACTCACGTTAACCCCTCTCTTTCCCCCGCCCCCCATGCCATCTCGCCCACCCCTCTCTCTCATTACTGTGCATGCCGTCAGTTTGGGGAGATAGTGGCAACAACGGAGCATGAGGAGGCGTTGGTGGTGGGTGAGGTGGACGTGGCTCAGATTGACACTCGCAGGTGGGCGGATAGAAGGGTTCAGTGCTATGCATGGCGTGTGGTTCAAGTTGCATGGGTGGTATGGGTTGAGAGAGCATGAGGAGGCACTGGTGGTGGGCGAGGTGGACCTAGGGCAGATTGACACTCGCAGGTGCGTGCAGAGATAGAGGGGTGAAAGCGATGGCATGGCATGGCATGGCATGGCGTGATGCAAGTAGCATGGGTGATAGGACACAAAGAGAGAGCGTGAGGAGGCGCGTTGGTGGGCGAGGTGGACCTGGGGCAGATTGACACTCGCAGGTGCGTGCAGGCACAGTGGGGTTCTTTATGGTATGGAGTGGCATGGCTTGGCATGGTGCAAGTGGCGTAGCTGCTATGTCATGGGATGGCATTATATGGCAGGAGAAGGCATTTTGTATATCCATCTGAATGTGCATGCGTATCCATCTGAATGTGCATGCGTGTCCATCTGAATGTGCATGTGTATCCATCTGAATGTGCATGTGTATCCATCTCAATGTGCATGCGTTGCGTATCCATCTGAATGTGCATGTGTATCCATCTCAATGTGCATGTGCATCTCCATGACAGGCAAAACATGCCCATCAAGGTGCAGCGAAGAGCAGACCTCTACCAGCTTATTGACAAGACTGCCGTTGATCAGTAGGAACACTCTGAACCACCACCAACCATGTACCATACTTCAGCAAACCAGTGACAGGCCTGCAATCAAGAGAGAGAGGTTACCGTAGTAACCTATCGTGTCTGACTGCTTCTCGAAGGCATTCTGTATACGGAGAAAACTGGCAATTACGTTCTCATTGTGAAGAGTTCATTCGTCACCAAATGAGATTTCTTAGGCATGGTGTTCACATTGGAGCATCATATTGCATGTATAGCACCTGTGCATGGCATTGATGTAGTTTGATGAACGTGTTGTCTTGTCATGAGATATGTCAGGCCATGCCAGGACAGAGTGCCTGTTGCCAGCTACATAAAGGGAAGCCAGCTGGAGGTGCTACACCTGTAAGGAAAAGGCAAATTGACATAAACTTCTCGAGCCCTGCTAAATAGCGCATGAGATCTCTGAGCAAACATATTACTCACCGCTGCTGAAGAGCCTCAGTCAGTTGCCAAATATACTAAGTGCTATTTTATCAACGGATAAACTGAGGAGGTCCCCTCCAAGCGTTTGGTAGCTATGCATTGGTGCTTTGCTTCACTGTAAGTGCACACACTGCAGTGGCAAACGCAACTGCGTTCAAAAACCTCTACCTCAGCACCATGATCGGCTGTAAGAGCGCTGCTCTCAGGTTCTCCCTATAAGCTGCTTCGAGACTGGACACGCCAAACACGTCCAGCAGCTTCCAACCCTCGAGCAACAGCGGCATGCGGATGGGACCGTACACGCGATGCGCATTGAACACCAGCGTGTCGTTGCCCACTGGGAGCCCCAGGAAAAAGAGCCCCCCTGGCTTCAGGAGGCCCCTTATCTGCGCAGTTGAAAGGGGAGGAGGGATGCAAGGGGGCATGCAGATACAAAAATTTGAGAAGTTATGGTTCAATAGGGATTACAGGAATGGTAGAGACGCGCACGCATCCGATGATGCAAATACGTGGCAGGATACATGTTGAGCAGAAATCACACACGTCTCAACCTATCAAGCACGATCAGGCAACCCATACCAGGAATCCGCATCCCATCATACCAAGCACCTCAGCAAACTCACCTTCTTCATTCTGAGCCGATCCCCATCCGGGTTCAGCGGATCGCCATATCTCCCCAGCCCATCGTGCTCCAGCGACGAATACGAAGCTACCACGTCAAACGTCTCATCTGAAGCGTCCAGCTCGGGAATACTCCACAGCCTCAATTCGGGATAATCTGCAACCGGTTTGTTGAAATCAACGGTCGTGATCGACCCAGCTTTATACGCCAAGAGAATCGCCTCAAGCCAAGGGACTTGACTTCCTACCACCAGCACCGATTTCCCTTTCACTGGGTACTTATCAAATGCCTCGTAGAAACTAAGGGTAGTATTTGCGCCGTAAGCGGAAACCTCAGGAGATCGCGACTCCGCCCGTTGCCGTCTTAGGTCGATATCCCGGGTCGGCCAGACAATAGGCTTCACTCCCGAGTCCCGATTCTCCATACCGTGGAAATTTTCAACGGTCCGGATCGAGCCGTTGACAGTGAACTCATCGCGGACGGACGGTCGGATGTACGTCCAGGGGATGGGCCCTTGGAGGCCGTAGTCTTGAATGTGGAATCTCGAGGGTTTTTTGGAGTCTTGCTGGTCACTGGCAGTGACAATGCAGTCGCCAGATGGTCCGCTCGGACTGACATTCCAAGAAGCCGTGTCTGCACGGTGCATACGCAATATGAGTTGTATAAGAGATAAGGTGATAACCGCGATGAGACTGAATGTGGTATGAGAATGCCACTTATCGAAAAAGAGAATGAGACGATAGCTTCTCAAGTTGACAATGGAACGTAGTACCTCGAAAGGAGATGGTAAGATAATATGAAAAAACAAAAACAATAAAAGTTGCGGCTTACAGCATTGGCTAGTGATTATAACGGTGGCGATCAAGGCTGCTGACATGATTGCCACCTGCTGCCAGTTCACCACTTTCGCCATACGCTCTGCTGCAGCTAGCATGGTGAATGGCTGATGGTTGACGACGTACTTTCTATGTATACCTCGCTCAGGTTTGTTACTGATAAGTTATACCGTCGCCTCGAATGCAAGTGACCTTTCGTCTGTTGAACGCCTAAATAGTTTCGAATTTTTTTAATCGACTCGGAAGCACGAACCCCTACGAAGACAGCTGCTGTTGTGAAATGCTGCTGTTGTGAAATGCAGCTGTTGTGAAATGCATCTGACAACCAGACTCGTCTTACTCACTCTAGCTGTTGACAATGCATCTGACAGAGGTACCCTTAGCATAAGATTCCTCAGGGCAGGCATCACACACACTGTCTTTGATTGAAGGTTCTGCCTGCTTGCAAGATCAAGGTGCCCGCTTCTCCCGACTTGAATCCCAGGCCTGATCGGTGTCTCTCCTTATCACCCGCAAGGTAGGGACGGATTGGGTGGGGCCTCAGCTGTCATCACCAACGGCCACGATAAGGAGACGGAAAATGTCAGTCTCTACTGGGCCGCCGATTGCTCTTTGGCCAAGCTTTGTGTGGCTTGTGTGCCAATGGTTGTGCTTGTCATCCCGCCGAATCCGCAGGGTGGAACTCCGGAGCGCGCGCTTCAGTGTTGTCAGGTTTTGCGTTGTGATTGACCGTGGGAGCTGGGGTGATTTTTATGAGCGGGAAACACCCCCTATAAATCACTTGGGCGTGGTGGGGGGCTAAGCACTGTGGCTCACAGTGGCTTATATTTTATACATGGGTTTTGAGTTGAGAGCGCATTGTTACTGTAACTTTTTGATCGGAACGCAGATCTATCGCCTCTGGCGCAGTGTTTTGGGCTGTTTGTCGATTCTGACGCAGAGTTAGCAAGATTTCTACGCAGTCCGCTGCTCATTGGTGCACATGGCAAAAAACCATTCGCTGAACACTGTTTTAACCTGTCGAGGTAAACAGTCACCTCGATGTGGCTGGCTCGGCATGTCACTGTTACCGAATCTAGAATTCCAGATTCTCGCGCCCAAAACATGGCATCACGTCCGTTACGAGCCTGGAAACTGAGACGACTTCCGTCAGGATAGACGTTCTCGCTACTAGGTGTTGCCAAGTGCTGCTACGACCCATAAATAGAAATACGCTACTAGGGGATCTTCAATAAAGAAAAAAAAACTAAAATAACAAATTTGATGCACATGTATGGGATTCACAATGAATGTTATCCTCAAGCATACTGTTTAGGGTTTCACTGTTTCCAGTGGTCATAGCTATAATTGTAAAAAATTTTCATTTATGCACGAAACGGCATGTATACATTTTGTTACGAAAGCAACGAATGAAGAATACAGTGCACTCCCGATCACAGCTGAGGAAGCACGCTGTATCGAGAACATTACGAAGAGTCAGAATTGACTCGAAACGTCAGACGGTTAGGATGCATCTGGACCGTCGGAGCAGGTGGCATCGGGCAGCTGCAGGCGCGAGGGTTTTGGCGGGAACGGTTTCGTAACCGTAACTGTACGGTTTCGTAAAGGGTATTGGAATGTACCCTTTTAAAGTACATGTATATATAATTTTTTTATACACATATAGAGAGATGTGTGTATATATATAAGTTATACACATGAATATATTTATATATAAAAAAATAAATAAATTTATATATACATGCACTCTCTATAGGTACTCTAAGGGGTACATTCCAATATTCAATTTCATTCCAACCGTGCGGCGCGTACAGTTACGAAACCGTTCCCGCCAAAACCATCGCGCCTGCAGCTGCCCGATGCCACCTGCTCCGACGGTCCAGATGCATCATAACCGTCTGACGTTTCGAGTCAATTCTGACTCTTCGTATTGTTCTCGATACAGCGCGCTTCCTCAGCTGTGATCGGGAGTGCACTGTATTCTTCATTCGTTGCTTTCGTAACAAAAATGTATACATGCCGTTTCGTGCATAAATGAAAAATTTTTACAATTATAGCTATGACCACTGGAAACAGTGAAACCCTAAACAGTATGCTTGAGGATAACATTCATTGTGAATCCCATACATGTGCATCAAATTTGTTATTTTAGTTTTTTCTTTATTGAAGATCCCCTAGTAGCGTATTTCTATTTATGGGTCGTAGCAGCACTTGGCAACACCTAGTAGCGAGAACGTCTATCCTGACGGAAGTCGTCTCAGTTTCCAGGCTCGTAACGGACGTGATGCCATGTTTTGGGCGCGAGAATCTGGAATTCTAGATTCGGTAACAGTGACATGCCGAGCCAGCCACATCGAGGTGACTGTTTACCTCGACAGGTTAAAACAGTGTTCAGCGAATGGTTTTTTGCCATGTGCACCAATGAGCAGCGGAATGCGTAGAAATCTTGCTAACTCTGCGTCAGAATCGACAAACAGCCCAAAACACTGCGCCAGAGGCGATAGATCTGCGTTCCGATTGAAAAGTTACAGTAACAATGCGCTCTCAACTCAAAACCCTTTATACATCATTACTTTCAGAAAATGGAGTATCGATTGCCTCTCAGAAAGATTTGGTTACCCCATTCCAATCCAACACCTCCCTCACACAGTCATGCGGAAATATCTAAGAGTTAAGGTAACGTGAACACACACGATAACACACAATGGTTATGGCGCAGGATGAGTGGGGCAAGGGGAGAAGGGGAAAGTGGAGAATAGTGGAAGTGTGAGGTAAGGTGAGAGTCTGACTCACGCCTAGTAGACGAGCAAATAACTGTACAATGAAGGCACAAAAGAATGCTCCTGCGCTGCTCGCCACTACCCTCCTGGCATCAGCTACAGCAGCATCGGCCTTGTGAATTCAACAAGGCAATAAATGACGTCAACTTACCCGAGCAGCTAATGGGACCTAGGTACTACCAAACATACTTGTCGCCGCTGAAGAGCCGCAGCCTGTGCATACCGGTATCTACCGGTACTTGAAACTTTAATCAGAGTTCTTGAAGTCAGGCCAGGTGGTTGCCTGTGGAGGAGATATCCCGCTTCAGAGGCCGTTAGGTAGCTGTGCATTGGGGGTCTTGTTTAGTGTGGAAAGAGCATGCATTGCTGTGGCAAACGTATGCATAGCTGCGTTAAAAACCTCCCATCTACCTCAACACCATGACCGGCTGTATGATGGAAGCATTTAGGTTCTCCCTATAAGCTGCTTCGAGACTCGACACCCCAAACACATCCAGCAGCTCCCAGCCGTCGAGCAGCAGTGGCATTCGAATGGGACCGTACACGCGATGCGCATTGAACACCAGCGTGTCGTTGCCTACAGGCACCCCCAGGAAGAAGAGCCCTCCTGGCTTCAGGAGACCCTTGATCTGCGCAACAGCAACGGGGAAGGGGGAAGGAGGTGCCAGGGAATAGGAATGCATGAGATGCGAGAAGATGGCGCATGCATTGAGTATCAAACACCGGCGTGTCTTTGCCCATTGGAACCCCAGAAAGAACCCTCCTGGCTTGAGAGGACCCTTGATCTGCACAACCACGGAGGGGAGGAGGGGATTCCAAAGAATGGGAATACATGGAAAGATTTGAGGTCATGGAGGTCATGGTACACACAATTTGGACTTGCATGAACACACAATTTGGATTGGTACACACAATAAGGGAATGCATGGATCATAGTAGACGAGCATTGAACACCAGCGTGTCAATGCCCATTGGACCCCCATGAGGAAGCTTCCTCGCAGATTCGAAGGCTCTTAATCTGCGCAGCTGCAAGGGGGAGGACAAGATACAGAGGCGGCTAGCGTGGAAGGGAGAATGTGGTGAGGACTTGTGAGGCGGCTCTAATGGCAGAAAGGGAGGAGATGGCGGTGACATGTAAGGCATGAAACGATGTTAGGCTCAATAGGGGTAACAGGCCATGCCAGGGACACATCAGCTGACGCAAACATGTGCCATGATGCAGAAAGTCTCGGCAGAGAGCAACCGCATAGGTGGGACAGTTAGATTAGACATACCAACACGGAAACAGAACCGAGCACCTCAGGAGAATTCACCTTCATCATTCTGAGCCGATCCCCATCCGGGTTGAGCGGATCCCCATATCTTCCCAGCCCATCGTGCTCCAGCGACGAATACGAAGCTACCACGTCAAACGTCTCATCTGAAGCGTCCAGCTCGGGAATACTCCACAGCCTCAGTCCCAGATAATCTGCAACCGGTTTGTTGAAATCAACGGTCGTGATCGACCCAGCTTTAAATGCCAAGAGAATCCCCTCAAGCCAAGGGATTTGACTCCCTACAACCAGCACCGATTTCCCTGTCACTGGGTACTTGTCTAATGCCTCGTAAAACGATAGGGTGCTATTGACTCCGTAAGGGCAAACGTTCGGGGCTCGCTCCTCCGCCATTCGCCGATATTTGTCAATTTCTTCGCTCTGCCAGACAAACTCCTTCGCTCCAGAATCGTACGAATCCATTCCGCGGAAATTTTCAACGGCTTGAATCGACCCGTTGACAGTAAATTCATCGCGGACGGACGGTCGGATGTACGTCCAGGGGACGGGTCCCTGGAGGCCGTAGTCCTGAATGTGGAATCTCGAGGGTTTCTGAGAGCCTTGCTGGTCACCGGAATTGATAATGCAGTCGCCAGATGGTCGGCTCGCTCTGTCATTCCAAGAAGCCGTGTCTGCGGGAAACATCCAGGAATTGATTTATGCAAAGGGATGAGGATGAAATTGTTAGGAATATACGCGTTGAGACTAAATGTGGTATGAGAGTGTCGCTACTTCGTCATAGGAACAAAAATCCTCAAGCAAATCCGTCGGGCTGCTCCCCAAGTTGACAATGGGTGGGAAGTACTCGGAGGGAATATGTGATCATCACAATTTGACCATGATGGTGAAATTGTGGACGTTGGACCTAAGTAATTGAGAGGATAGTAAATTCAAGAATTTGAGAGGAAATAAGCGCGACGCGGGCGTCGGGGCTTACAGCATTGGCTTGTGATTATAACGGTGGCGATCAGGGCTGCTGACACGATTGCCGTCTGCTGCCAGTTCACCACTTACGCCATACCCTCTGCTGCAGCTAGCATGGCGAATGGCCGATGGTTGACGACGTACTTTCTATGTATACCTCGCTCAGATTTGTTACTGATGTCCTCCCTATGATGATCTCGCTCGAATTTTCACTGATAAGTTGACCTGGTCGCCTCGGATCGAACTGACCTTGCTTCGAGTCGACTCATCTGTTTCAAATCGTTCTGGAAGCACGCAGCGCAACGAATACTGCTACTGCTTACGCAAGGAGATGAGTCAAGCGATCTCACACAAAGAAACTAGTTCTGTCGCAATTGGTGATCATCACCTCATCTCTCGCGTCCACCGTGCAGTCTTCGATTTCGCTATCGCCCAATCGAACCGGCTATGCGAAATCTTGTTACGGATGTCGTTTAGTGGTCGCACTTAACACGGTTATTTGCGAAGAGATTTCTCAAGCTCTTTGATTGGCCGATTTAGAAATTGGAACGGAAACCAGAGAGAGTTTTGCTCAAATCCGTGAAATCGCGATTTGTTTTATTATTGCCACGTGGCATGCATATGATCGCGGGAACCGCGATCTGTTTTATTGTTGCCACAAATTTCTAAGAGAAATATAGTTAAGCTTAGTGGGTCACATGTACCACGCTGCCCGAGGGAAAAAATAAAACCCCTATAGGAATGGCATGGATCAACCCTAAACGCCTTGAGGCAAAGTGTTTGGGGTTGATGCCTCCCTAACACATGCCAGGCCCGAATGGGTTTTAATTTTGCCCGCGGGCAGCGCATTGCAAAACTTAACTAAATATCTGTTGAGCTTTGTGGGACCAATAAAACAAATCGCGGTTCCCCCGATCGAAGGCATGCCACGTGGCGATAATAAAACAAACCGCGATTCCGCGGGATTGAGCAAAATTCTCCAATTGCGATCACCAACGGCAGCGAAGCCGATGGGGATAGCAGTCAGCCTTGTTGTGCTGTCCCCAGTATAGAACATAGGTAGATTGTGGAAGCTACAATGGTGTAGATCTAAACAAAAACCTTCACAAAGAGAGAAAACATTATCTGTCAGGCTTACTTGGAAAAAACTCTGATTTTTCGGACAGCAGAATTAGTTGCTTCGATATAATATACCCTGGTTCTACTTCTGGAGACCCGATTGTGATTGACCGAGTTGCTATACAGCTAGTCGCACCTGGTGGTTGCCCATGGAGAGACTGAGGAGCAAGATACCCCCCTTCAGCGTCTCGGTGGGAGTCCGGTTTACTATGGCGAGCATACGCATAGCTGCGTTCAGAACCTCTACCTCAACACCATGACCGGCTGTAAGATTGTTGCATTAAGGTTTTCCCTATAAGCTGCTTCGAGACTGGACACCCCAAACACGTCCAGCAGCTTCCAGCCGTCGAGCAGCAGTGGCATGCGGATGGGACCGTACACGCGATGCGCATTGAACACCAGCGTGTCATTGCCTACAGGCACCCCCAGGAAGAAGAGCCCTCCTGGCTTCAACAGGCCCCTAATCTGCGCAGTCATAAGGGAAATAGACGCAAGAGGACGTGGCAGCAGAGGGTAAGAAGTAGAAGGATGCGAGAGAGAATGTCTTATGACTGGTAACAAGACATGGTAAGGAAACACACACATCAGCTGATGCAAACGCGTTGCAATGGCAGAGAGCACACGACGAAGAATGGTTAGGCATTCCATTTCACGACGCAACCTCATTGCGTCATACCCAACACCGTCGTAGTATCACCTTCATCATTCTGAGCCGATCCCCATCCGGGTTTATTGGATCGCCATATCTCCCCAGCCCATCGTGCTCCAGCGACGAATAGGAAGCTACCACGTCAAAGGTCTCATTGGCGGCATCCAGCTCAGCTATATTCCACAGCCTCAATCCGGGATAATCTGCAAAGGGTTTGTTGAAATCAACGGTCGTGATCGATCCAGCTCTATACGCCAAGAGAATCCCCTCAAGCCAAGGGGTTTGACTCCCTATCACCAGCACCGATTTCCCTTCTACTGGGTACTTATCCAATGCCTCGTAAAAAGAAAGAGTTGCATTCTCGCCGTATTTAGAGACTCTAGGGGATCGCGCCTCCGCCATTCTCCTTTTCCGGTCGATTTGTCTGGTCGGCCAGACGACAGCCTTCGCTCCAGAGTCACCCATATCCGTCCCGTGGAAAAGTTCAACGGCCCTGATCGAGCCGTTGACAGTAAATTCATCGCGGACGGACGGTCGGATGTACGTCCAGGGGATGGGTCCCTGGAGGCCGTAGTCCTGAATTAGGAATCTCGAGGGTTTCTGAGAGCCTTGCTGGTTACTGGCAGGGATGGTGCAGTCGTCAGATGGTCGGCTCGGACGGTCAATCCAAGAAGCCGGGTCTGAACGGTGCAAAGACGAATGAGTTGTACAAGGACGTGATGAGACGAAATGTGTTATGAGAATGTAGGGGGGTGCTCTCCACGTGACGAAAGATATTTGTGATGTGGTCACGTCCTAATTTTTTGTAAAAAAAAAAAAAATACCGGGAAGAAGAGCGACGCGGGTGTCGGGTCTTACAGCACTGGCTTGTGATTATAACAGTGGCGATCAGGAGTGCTGACACGATTGCCGTCTGCTGCCAGTTCACCACTTTCGCCATACGCTCAGCTGCAGTAAGCATGATGAATTACTAATTACTAACTTCAGTCTCGGTATATCACGCTCAGACGATTAACCATGGTTTGCTATGCTGTCGCCGCGAATCTATGTGCGCTTCCGTCGGTTCAAGAGCATGTGTCTCTATAATTTCGAATCGCCTTGGAAGCACGAACCGTGACGAAGACTCCTTCAGTGCTTACAAGTTGTAAACGCAGCAGAAAAGACTCGCGTCAACTCATCTTAGCGACTCGTGCTGATGACGACTCTCGCCATAGTACATATACCGCAAGCCAGTCAAGCCATGGCTGCTTGTTGCTGGTTTTTTATTCCCAGATCCATTACGGATCGAGGACTCGACGAGCTTGGTTTGTATTCATTCATAGTTAGTTCTTCTAGCACGGTTCGATACGTTACAGAATGTTTGAGAACGGTTATCCTCTGCAGCCGCACTGAACTGAATCCTACCAAACGAACGAAAACTACCAGCCCTGAAAAACGGTGGATGACCAACGGCAGCGATAAGGGGATTGAGACGGCGGTCAGCGGTGTTGATCTGTCAGTGGCCAAAACTTGTCAGAAGCTTGAGCGTCCCGCCAAATCCCCAACAATGCGATGCGGCATTCTCGGGGAGCAGTGTGGCGCACCTGCATTTCAAAGCGATCCTGTAGGTTGCGTTGCGATGCAAAACGGTGCGTGTTCAGAGCCTTTTTTTTGTATAAGCAATACTTTTGCGAGGTGTATCGAAGTACATGTGCAAATACCTATGTAGACAACTCATGACAACATTTTACACTAGCTTTTTTCACTAACCCCCCCTTTCCCATCCGCACCTCCTCCCCCAGCTTCAGATGCGCCATATTTTCCAATCTTCTGCCTCCCTAACACACAACCTAAATCCCATAGATTCATTATATTTTGTGCTCTCTCAAAGCGCCCCCTCAAATCCAGGTGCTACCAAAACCACCCCCTAGTAACCCCTTGTGACCACGGTAGGGTCCAATTGCCCGCTGTGGTATGACGAAGGAACAACTGACAGCTCTTGCCCCGCGCGCCACTCCTCCCCTGGCTTCAGCTGCACTGGCTTCTCGATCGCTGCTGCCTCCACACACACGAACCGCTTGTACTCACCCTCTCCCATGTCGCTCATAGCCCTTGCCTTCTTCTCCCAGGGGTTCCACACGACTGTAAGTAGGGAAGAGGAGAGGGGTGGGGAGGGAGCATGGGAAATACGAGGAGAGTGGAGCATGAGGAACACACGACACACACTCACACAAACTGCTTGTACTCTCCCTCCCCCATGTCACTCATGGCCCTTGCCTTCTTCTCCCAGGGGTTCCACAGGACTGTGGGTTGGGGAGGGGGAAAGGGTGGAGGGGAGAGCGAAGCATGAGCAACACACGACACACACTCACACAAACTGCTTGTACTCGCCCTCTCCCATGTCGCTCATGGCCCTTGTTCCACACGACTGAAGGTTGGTTGGGTTGGGGACAGAAGGGAGCGCACGGGAAAGAAGAGAGCAGAAAGCGAGTTTCAAGAGACACGCACACTGCGAAAAAGGGAGTCCTGCACAAAGCAACCCATCTACTTTTATGACAGAGACTCATGATGCTAATCGTTGTGTGATTTGTAAGATTGAACACAATATCATTGCCATGTGCGAGGAGGATTCAGGTAGAGCGAAGCAATACCTGCATCAAGGAATCCGTCCTTCTTGACGAGGTACGTCTTCTTTATTGCGTGGTCCACTATAGCAACCTTTGCTGGCGTATTCAGGTATATTCTGTCAAACTGCAAAAGCAAAGCAGACAGGGAACGTAAAGTAAGTTAGGAAATCGAGATAAGGCACACCAAGGCACTTGGAATTGAATCACAGCCCTTTACAGCACAATCCTTCATGAGACGCGCGCAGCCCGAAACAGCGGTTTGCAATGCAGAGTGACTATGATGACGCACTCAGGAACACCATCTGTGCTTCCACGTCTCAAAAGTCATTCTCTTGCACTGCTCTTGACTCTTACCTCAGAGTCAAACGTGATCGAGTCCCCTTGGTCCGTCACTCTCTTGAGTGCATCCAGGTTGTCGAAATAATCCAGCGTCTCCAGCCCCTCTATGCGCACCTCGCTGCCCAAGGAGGAGAGGGGACGGGGGAGGTTGGGGGGAAGAGATGAGGGGAGATGGAAGGGAGGTTACTATCTTGAGTGCATCCAGGTTGTCAAAATAATCCAGCGTCTCCAGCCCCTCTATGCGCACCTCGCTGCAGCAGAGGGGAGGGGGAGGGGGACGGGGAGGGCGAGGGGGAGGGGGAAGGGTAGGGGGAGAGGGAGGGCGAGGGGGAGGGGGAAGGGTAGGGGGAGAGGGAAGGCGAGGGGGAGGGGGAGGGAGAGGGGGAGGGGTAGGGGAAGGGGGAGGAGGTGGGACAGCACTTTGAGGGCCCGTGAAGCAAAGGCTGCCTGAGGCGCGGCCACTTTTGAGAATTCACAGAGGCACGGCCATTGCTCACCTGATGTCTGAGACTGGGAAGTATGTGTGCAAGGGGCAGTGAAGGGTGCACGCACTCACACCACTACCACCGACAGCAACAGATACATACGATATGCACAGGGCAACAGCAACAGCAACAGCCACCCACCTGATGTCTGAGACACGGAAGTACGTGTGCAGCGCGCAGGTGAAGGAGAGCGCCTTGCTATCGGTGTTGAGAACACGCATTGATGATAGCAGCAGCAACAAGTAGCAGCTACACACCTGATATCCAAGACTTGGCCTTGACTCACCTGATGTCTGAGACACGGAAGTATGTGTGCAGCGCGCAGGTGAAGGAAACAGCCAACTCACCTCGAGCACACAGCAGCAGCAGGCACTCACCTGATATCTGAGACGCGGAAGTATGTGTGCAGGGCACAGGTGAAGGAGAGCGCCTTGCTGTCTGTGTTGAGAACACGCATGGACGACAGCAGCTCGCCCCCTCTTCCCAACGCCACCTTCATTCGCAGCTCAAAGCTGCATGGAGGGAAGGAGAGACACGGGTGCATGGGTGCGAGCAGAACATGGGGTGAAGGAGAGCGCCTTGCTGTCTGTCTGTGTTGAGCAGTCGCATCGACGACAGCAGCTCGCCTCCCTGCCCAAGGGCCACCCGCACACCACCCCTGCGTGCAGAATCCTACAACCGACCCGACCTTTGTGCTACAGAAGCCACACCAACAACAGTCACGTTCAACCACCCCCACTCACCTCGGAGTTGATTTTTGAGTCGACTCAAAAATCAACCTTTGTGCTACAGAAGCCACACCAACAACAGTCACGTTCAACCACCCCCACTCACCTGTGCGGCCAGATGCGCAGGTCTTCAGGGGAGGGCGTGAGGAGAAGAGGGAGAGAGGGAGGAGGTGCATGTGAGTGATACCGCGTTCATACATCATACCCCACTCACCTGTGCGGCCAGATGCGCAGGTCTTCAGGGGAGGGCGTGAGGAGGAGGTCAAGAGAGGCAGGATCCGTGTTGGGAGACGTGGGATCCAACGACCAGGATCTATTCCTGGCATAGCCGTGCTGATCCAACGGCCCCATTGGACCGAACTGCAACAACGGAAAGGAGTGGTGAAGGAATGCGGGGAGGTACCGCGAAACGAGGACAAGGAGGGAGGGAGGGAGGGAGGGAGGGAGGGAGGGAGGGAGGGAGGGAGGGAGGGAGGGAGGGAGGGAGGGAGGGAGGGAGGGAGGGAGGGAGGGAGGGAGGGAGGGAGGGAGGGAGGGAGGGAGGGAGGGAGGGAGGGAGGGAAGGAGGGAGGAGGGAAAATGGGCAGGGGGGAGGAAGGGAGAGAGAGGGTGGTGAGGAAAGAAAGGGCGCATTCCAGATGGTATAACAATTGGAAGATGCAAAAAGCCCTTGGCCTGACTGAACTATGGGGAAAGAACAGCATCTGACGAACCAGAGATGGAAGGAAAAGGAGGGACGGACACATGGAAAAGCACACACGCAGGCATGACCAAGAGGTGGGGAAATGTGATGGCGAGCTGCTGAGCTGGCAAGATGGCGAGCTGCTGAGCTGGCAAGATGGCGAGCTGCTGAGCTGCCAAGTTGGTCACTGATGAGGTGCTGAGCTGCTGAGCTGGCGAGATGGTGAGCTGGCGAGATGGTGAGCTGGCGAGATGGTGAGCTGGCGAGCTGTTAAGCTGATATCATGGGGAGCTGGTAAGCTGATACGCTGGTGGGCGTACCTGAGGGAAGCAGACTGGAATGCCGCCCCGGATTGCCTTGGGTGGCTTGAAAATGGCCTGCATGCACACATGGCAGGAAATGCGCATGTTTGGGCAAGAATGTAAAGGGATAATACGCAAGGGAGTCCGTATTTGGGTGTGCAAGAGGGAGTGAGGAAGAGACACGTGAGAGCGAGGTGGGAGGGGGCCTGGAACGAGCTCACTTCGCATAGCATGTATGAAATATTGAAGTAGACAAACTAAACCAGTGACAAAACCCAAATGAGCCGGTATCAGTCTCATCAACTAACTGCACTTTCACCTTACTACTCGTAAAACGGCTAAAACTCTCTCTACTTTCCAAGTGTCTCGAAGGGCTCTCTAGTTCTCAGTTTTTTCAAAAAAACTCTCTAGCTTTTTAGTGTCTGACCTTGCTGCTCATAAGGAGGCTCTCCTCCTTGCTGTCGTGCTTCCACGAGGTGGCGCTGCTCTCAAAAAGGTTCTCAATGTTCTCAAACGGCTAAAAAACAGCTCTCCATGATTCGGACGAGTCAGCGCATTCTAACCTTGCTACTCATGAAGAGGTTTTCCTCCTTGCCGTCGTGCTTCCACGAGGTGACGTGTCCGCCATGGAAGAACACCTGCGGTTACAGGGTTACCACACGGATTGGTATGATACAAATTTCGCGCACCAAATAAATCACTGATTTTGCCCGAACATCAAGAGGCTTGTTTGAATGGCATAAACGGCGTAAGGAACGGACAGGGAAGGACTGGTAACCCTGAAACGAGGGCTTGAAAAATTCATCATAAATATTTTCAAGCCAAGCTAAATCCTCCCAGATTCCAGGTACGTCGTCAAAGAATTCGACTGCGGTGGAAGAAACACCCGCCTTAAAAATCCAGGTACATAAATTCCACGGAATCCGTGATACCAATCCCACGGAATCCGTGATTCCAGGTGCATACAGTGAAGTTCGAAAACAGCGGCGCATACTTCCGTTCAGTGCGCCTTATCTTTTTCCCTGTACAATAAGCTGACCCTTTGAAGCAGCAATTTCTATGAAGCTACGCTGAATCCGGCAGAATGCCTTGCACACCGACACAGAACCCGATTGTCATTGCGATATCGCGATTGCCGTTGCGCTATAAGCTTACCTCCGCTGTCGCGCCGCCAGCCTGTCGGAGAACCACCTTCTCAAGTCCCGATGCCTCGTCCTTGCACTGACCCGGATGGGCCATCGCCGCGTCTAAGAACCTTCCGTCGACTAATCCTACTACTATTAACTCCGCCGCTTCAGGCGCCTGAATACTCGTACGTTATTGGCTCCGCCTTATGAGGAGTCACAGAAATCGACTGTTCCTGATGTCCGTCGCTTACGCGTCCCTGGTGGATCTGAATTGTAGCGTTCCCAATCTGCGGTAAGTTTGATGAAATCCGAGCTCTCCCTTTTTCGTGCTTATGACTTTCTAATCGCACTTTACCGTTGCTGATAGATCTGCAATGTAACGGTCACGATTCGCAGCGCTGGGAAGAAAGAATGGGAGAGAAACTCTGAAATTGGAGAACTGCGTGATAGACGGGAGCTAGAAAAGGGAAAATCCTACGGAGTTCAAGGAACCCGTGCAGGCTCACGTGAAAGCGACACGCTGATGCGACTCGCGACTGAATCTAGAAGGAACGGAATGGTGGGAACGGGAACAAGGAATCTGGATGTAGGAGAAATGTGAGGAGGGGGCGGTCTCACACTGGAATGAGCAATCACACGACATCACAGTAAGTTAACAAAGTCCAGGTAGTGTTCAGAAGTGTGTTGCAGCTCGCGGGAACATTTTGTCTGCACGTTGTTCACTCAAAAGCGAACACAAATTTGTCGTCAAACTGGGAATGTTGCTAAAGAAACGCAACTCTGTTTGCAACCTTCTAAAGCCTCTTTTCCAGCGCGCCCTAGTTTCGACACCCCACTTCCCCTTCGGGTCTGCTCAATAGCTTGCCTCCCGTTCTACTTCATCCTCCGCTCCTCCGCTAACAGCCCGCACTCGTTTCACAGGATCGTTTTGTTGACTAAGCCAGTTGCAGCGCGTAGGGAGCGGGTCCTCCCGTCGCCGTAAACTCCGCTTCGTCGATCCCTCGATCCGAAAAAAAAGGGGAAACGGAAAAGAATCGTCTGTCTGCCAGAAAGTCCGTTCCGTTCCCATCATAAAGTCGCTGCTCCGCCATGTCGGCCAGAAAAGCTGTAAGTTCAAGTCAAGGCAAGTCAGTCAAGAAAGTCAGTCATGTCAATAGGCAACGAGCCCGGCCATATCTTAACTAGAACGAGCTTCGCGAAGCTATCTCTCACATCTCGTGTTATGTTACCTTCGTACCATTTCAGAAGTTGTCTGCTGCAGCGTAATTTTTGCGAAGCTTTGCGTGATCGCAGACGTTGTGGATTGCAAGTGCACGCTGCTCCGTCAGCTGTCTAGGGAGAAATTGCATCGTCTTGAATTCGATTAGATTACCTTGCAGGATCCGTTCCGATCCGATCATCTCGATTTGTTCCGTTCCAATCCAACTACGCCTTCTCCGTTGGTTGAATCCACTCCGCTTGTTTTGTAGCGTTTCCTTTCCTTGGTTCCACTCGGCTCGTCTAATTTCACCCGCCTCCATGCTGCCCTCTCTTCTGCTCTCCTCTGCTCTACCCACTTCTCCTTTTCTCTTCTCTGCTCCGCTCGCTCTGTTTGCTTGCTGGGATGCAACAGCTGAGCGTGTGGAGACTGCTAGCAGCACCGCCTCACACCGCTGGATTTGCCGTTCCTTCCGCTACTCCTGCTGCTCCTGCTGCTGCCCTGTCCGCGTGCCATGCTGCAGCGGCCTGCTCGTTCTTCCCCTGTGATGCTGCTGCACCCCCCCCACCACCACCGCTTCCCATGCCACTTCCACCACCACTCCCACCACTCCCACCACTCCCACCACTTCCACCACTCCTAGCACTGCTACCACTCCCACCACTGCGACCAGCACCACCGCTGGTTCCTCCTTGCTTTTCCTGCATCGCCGCTTCTCCCTACACCATCAACAATCTCAGCGCTTAGCTAAGCAGCTACACCAACCCCACTCTCACCAGCAGTGCTCCTTGCATTACTACCACTGCAATTACCAACACGTGCTGCCACCTCAGCATCACCACGTGCCACGTCAGCAGCTGCCGCATCAGCATCAACAAAAACGGTCCATGTTCATCCAGACCCTCACCACCCCCAACCCGCCTCCCTCATGTTCCTCCCTGGCCGCCCCATCCTCTCCTCCCCTTTCCTCCTCCTCCTCCTCCTCCTCCGCCTCCTCCTCCTCCCTCCTCTCCCTCTTCCTCTTCATCGGAGGATCAGCCCTCATCTCAGTCGTCGATCGAGTTTTATTCTGCCCGAGCTGCCCTAGCGTCTCCACTTGCAATTGCATTGTTCCGCATTGATGGTAAGCAATTGTTTTTTTTGCCCAACAGAACTTTTTTTTTTCCGCCTGACCTGACACTGCCTGCCCCTTCCACTGGTGCTTCTCCATCCCTCCACCACTGCCCGCAGGTGCCTTTTGAGTCAACTTAAAAGCCATTTAACCAACATTGCGGCACCATCCATCCACCATCCTTCACCATCCCCCCACACCATCCCTCTACCGCTCCCACTCGCAGGTGTATCTCGGGTGTTCCTGGGAGGTGACTTTGTGACTGTGACTAAACGGAGGAGAGCTCCTGGGATCTCCTCAAGCCGGAAATTTTTGCTGCCCTGATGGACTTTTTTGCCTCCGGGCAGCCGGTGCTGAACCCCCAGGCAGAGGCGGCAGCAGCTGGTGGGGAGCAACAACCCGCAGAGGTGGGGTGGGGGGAGTGATGGGAGTAGAGAAGGTGAGGTGCGGTAGAGGTGGGTGGGGTGGGGAATTGCAGCAATAGGCAGGTGTGGTGGAGAGGTGAGGTGCTGAACTCCTAGGCAGAGGCGGCAGCAGCTGGTGGGGAGCAGCAACCGGCAGAGGTGCGGTGGGGGGAAATTAGTGGGAGTAGAGAGGTGAAGGGAGCGGTGAGTTGCGGTAGTGGTGGGTTTTGAGACGTCTCGATACTCGGCACAGGCGGCAGCAGCTGGTGGGGAGCAACAACCGCCAGAGGTGCGTTGGGGGGAATGATGGGGTGAGGGGAGTAATTGATGGGATGGGGGAAGTGATGGGGTGGGGGTAGTGATGCAAAGGGGGAACGATGGGAGTGGAGAGAGGTGAGGCGAGTCAGGGGTGGGGTGGGAAATTGCAGCAGTAGACAGGTTTGAGGAGAGGTGAGGTGCTGAACCCCCTGGCAGAGGCTGCAGCAGCTGGTGGGAGCAACAACCTGCAGAGGTGGGATGTGGGGAAATCACTGCGAGTAGAGAGGTGAATTGGAGCAGTGAGTTGCGGTTGAGGTGGTTTTTGAGACGCCTTGTTACCTGGCACAGGCGGCAGCAGCTGGTGGGGAGCAACAACCGCCAGAGGTGGGGTGGGGGGAGTGATGGAGTGGGGGAGTGATGGAGTGGGGAAAAGTATGGAGTGGGGAAAAGTATGGGGTGGGGGAAATGAGGGGGCAGAGGTGGGGTGGGGGAATGAGGGGCAGAGGTGGGGTGGGGGTGAGGGGCAGAAATGAGGGGCAGAGGTGGGGTTGGGGAATGAGGGGCAGAGGTGGGGTGGGGAATGAGGGGCAGAGGTGGGGTTGGGGAATGAGGGGCAGAGGTGGGGTGGGGAAATGAGGGGCAGAGGTGGGGTTGGGGAATGAGGGGCAGAGGTGGGGTGGGGGAATGAGGGGCAGAGGTGGGGTTGGGGAATGAGGGGCAGAGGTGGGGTGGGGGAATGAGGGGCAGAGGTGGGGTTGGGGAATGAGGGGCAGAGGTGGGGTTGGGGAATGAGGGGCAGAGGTGGGGTGGGGGAAATGAGGGGCAGAGGTGGGGTTGGGGAATGAGGGGCAGAGGTGGGGTTGGGGAATGAGGGGCAGAGGTGGAGTTGGGGAATGAGGGGCAGAGGTGGGGTTGGGGGAATGGCGTATCATTAAGAATGCAGTGCAAAAAAGAAGGTGTGATGAGGCGGGTTGTGGTGGGGATGGTTAGGAGTAGATGTGGGTGGTGTGCTGTGCAACAATTATTGAGTCGACTCAAATGGTCGTGTGCAAAATCGTCTCATCACAGATGTGGGTGGTGTACAACAAACTGAAACGCTGTTGAGGTTGCTAGAACTGAATTTTCTTTATTCTGTAGTACTCAGGCCCTTCTCCCTTGTCTTGCTTCAGGTCGAGAGTGAGACAGTGCTGATGATACAGCAGTCGTGTGCTGAGCCCACACCTACGCCTGCCCTTCCCCCTTTCCCGTGTTCCCCCTCTCCCCATGTTCCCCCCTTCCCGTGTTCCCCCCCCCCCCCCGTGTTCCCCCCTCCCCGCTTCACCAACCCCTTCAAGATGAGAGCGAGACGGTGCTGATGATTAGAGAGAGCTCCTGGATACGCGCATTCGGCTCCAACCATTCTCCCTCTGTCCTCTCCCCTCCTTTCCCCTCCCCCTGTTCCCCTCTCTCCCATCCGCCACTCCCATCAGGACGAGAGTGAGACGGTGCTGATGATAAGGGAGCTGCTGGAGACAGTTTTCAAACCTCGTTTCCAACAGGTCGTCCCTGTGTGTTTGCCCCCGTCCTTCTGGCCGGTGTGTTTCCCTGTGTGGTCGGCCTTCAGGACGAGAGCGAGACAGTGTTGATGATAAGGGAGCTGCTGGAGACGCGCATTCGGCCGGCAGTGCAGGAGGACGGAGGGGACATTGACTTTGTTGACTTTGACGAGTGAGCTTGACTTGGGTTGACTCTGTTGACTTCGATGAGTGAGCTTGACTTGGGTTGACTTTGTTGACTTTGAGGAGTGAGCTTGACTTGGGTTGACTATTTTGACTTTTGAGACGCCTCAATAAGCGTGCATGCGACTACCAGTGCAGGAGGATGGAGGGGACATTGACTGTACTGACCTTGACAAGTGAGCTCTTCACGTCAACCTCTTGCCACGTCATCCTCTTGCCACGTCACCCTCTTGCCACGTCATCCTCTTGCCACGTCACCCTCTTGGCACATCACGCCCTGTCCACATATATACTCCAAGCTTTACCACCTGTGAACCTCAAACCCATGTCTCCCACTTATCAACCACCAGAGCCACATTGAGTGTGTATCCGTGCATGAAGGACTCTTGCAGTGTCTGCCCAAGCATGGTCTTTACGCCGTAACCAAGCATGATCCCACGTCCGTGTCACCTTACATGTTACCGTCCACCCCCCAGGGCCACGGGTATTGTGTATCTGCGCATCAAGAGCGCCTGCAATGGATGCCCAGGCGTATATTCTTTACCCTATCACCCATTTCCCTGCACCCGTGTCACCTGTTTCACCCGTCTCACCTGTGTCACCTGTGTATCAACCCCCCAGGGCCACGGGAATTGTGTATCTGCGCATGAAGGGCGCCTGCAGTGGCTGTTCAAGCCATTGCGCCCTTCTGTATCCAACTCTGACTGTTGTGCCCTCCCTCCCCTCGCTGCCACCCACCCCCCAGGGCCTCGGGGATCGTGTATCTGCGCATGAAGGGCGCCTGCAGTGGCTGCTCATACCTATGCCCCTTGTATGCCTTACCACCTTTACCCCATATATCCTCTTATCCGCCCCCCAGGGCTACGGGAATCGTGTATCTGCGCATGAAGGGCGCCTGCAGTGGCTGCCCGAGCTCCTCTGTGACTCTAAAGAGCGGAGTCGAGAACATGCTCACGCACTATATCCCAGAGGTGAGTAGAACGGATGGAATTGTAACGATGCTAGTACCATGGGCTTCCAACAAGACAATGCTCATTCGCTGAATGGATTTGTATCGCCTATACGCCTGTGTTTCTCCTCGTGCACTTTGCCTCTTTTACTCCGTCAGCTCCCCTTGTTTTCCCTTGCCTCTCCTTGTCTGCCCATGTCTGCCCATGTCTGCCCATGTCTGCCCATGTCTAGACTCATGTCTGCCCGATGTTTGCCCATGTCCCCCCCATATCTGCCTGTGTCTCCGGATGCAGGTGAATTCAGTGAAGGAGGTTGTTGAGGAGGCAGACTGAGTGTACCCAGTGTTCGTACTACTTGTTGTAAGACGTCTCAAAACAGGCTCACTTCGTGTCTCCGCTTGTGTGCCTGTGTCGCCGGATGCAGGTGAATTCAGTGAAGGAGGTTGTGGAAGAGGCAGAGTGAGTGTACCCAGTGCCCATACTCGTTATAAGAAATCTCAAGACAATCAGGGCAATCTGGAGGCAGGTTACATTTGTCAAGAGGGCAGTGGAGCAGGCAGAGTGATGAGAGTGGCTAGCACCACAGCCGCTAGCTCTTTTGAGGCGCCTCAAAGGTGATGCTAAGGGTGTGAAAGACATAAAGTTGTGCAAGCGGAATGGGGTATGACTAGAAGGAGATGGGTGCATACGGTATGTACAAACAGAGAAAGTATTGTACCCTATACAATGCAACTCATTGTAGTCTAGCAAACGTAACACACAAATTGGTATGTATACAGTTTGACACTTTTAAGCTTGCTCTCTGGCAGTAGACCATCCAGGTCGCCAGGCACGGGTCACCAGGTACGGGTCGCCAGGCAACGGGTCACCAGGTACGGGTCGCCAGGCAACTGTTGAGTCTGACACAAAGGTCGCCAGGTACCATATGAGTAGCTGTGCCGAGGGCACTGCTGGATAGCTTTCAGTGGCGATTGCCACCTTTGTTGTGTGCTCCCTGCGCTGTTAATCTAATCACCATCCGTTCTCTGCTCCGGGTTCTCAGCATTTCACCTGCGTCATGACCTTCAAATGTGGCGTTGCTGGGGGGGGATGCATCATCCGTTTGTGCAGTCGCCCCAACCATCGTCTTTCCAGCTAGTTCCAACGAAATCTGTGCTACACCTGACAGAGGAGGTGCCGTTATCGACTTTTGAGATGACTCAAAAGTCGAATCTGTGCTACACCTGACGGAGGTGCTGTTATCCACACGTGCGGTTATCCACACGTGCCGTTGTCCACACGTGCGGTTATCCACCCGTGCGGTTATCCACACGTGCCGTTGTCCACCCGTGCCGTTATCCACACGTGCCGTTATCCACACGTGCCGTTATCCACCCGTGCCGTTATCCACCCGTGCCGTTATCCACACGTGCCGTTATCCACACGTGCCGTTATCCACACGTGCCGTTATCCACACGTGCCGTTATCCACACGTGCCGTTATCCACAATGTAGCGCACGTGAACCATCCTGTTTGAACGGCACGCGGCGGCGGCCAACAGCTGCGAGGTGGCTTTTGAGACAACTCAAAAGCGTACTGTGCAATTGTAAAGAGGTGACATTTAAGTCGACTCAGGAGTTATCCACCACCCCAATGTAGAGCACGTGAAGCACTTTGTTGAACGACACGCGGCGGTGGCCAACAGCTGCGAGGTGATATTTGAGACAACTCAGGAGTTATTCACCACCCCAATGTAGCGCACGAGGACCATCCTGTTGAACGACACGCGGCGGCGGCCAACAGCTGCGAAGCCGCAGCTTCCTCGCGATCTAGGGCTGCCAGCCAAGCAGCTGACGAGGCGATTCTCCCCGTCGCCCAGCGAGGATCGCCGTCGCAAAGCAGCAGCTTCGAAAGAGCTGCTCCGATGGCTAGACTTTTGAGGCGCCTCGAAGCCGCAGCTGCTTCGCGATCTAGGGTTGCCAGCCAAGCAGCTGACGAGGCGATTCTCCCCGTCAAGCGAGGATCGCCGACGTTGCAAAGCAATAGCTTCGAAAGAGCTGCTCCGATGGCTGGGAAGGTAACGTGTCTGGAAGCTGCACGTGCGGCGATGAACGCCAGTGTATTCGGAAAAGCAAAGACAACGCGGGGCTTGCACGCTGTCACAGCGATCCCCCAGACAGTCTGACACCGAACCCGATCCCCCATCATGACCGTTGGAACGAGGCTTTTGTTCGTACGAGCCCAGATTGTCCCAAGCAGCCCGGGGCTGTGATGCTGTGGGTGCGCTGGCGCCGGCGGCGGCGCTTTGCGGCGAATGGACGGGGTACGCCTTTTCGCTGATCTCCTCCACCCTTGTGGTAACGTGGTAACTCCTCGAAAAGGCCTGATGCTTGCTGCTGCAATAACTCCCCAATATCGACAATCTCGCGCTGCTGCCGCTACTACTACTGCCATGGACGAGGACGGGAGAACAGACGGCAACAGGACGCTCTGGATCAGAAAGCGTCCTCCTCGCCTCGCGCCTTGCCCTGTTCGCCGGCCGGAACGATCGCGATTCGGAATCATGGCGGCCCGGGCCGGCACGCAGAGACTCGTTCGATGGGCTCTCGTCTTCGATCCACACGCGATCCATTTCCGCCGATGCGACGGCGAGACGCGACACGAGCGCCGCGCTCGGGCTGCGAACCACGGAAACGGCCGCCGGACGCCATTCGCGCGGAACGAACCGCCCCTGGTTACAAATGTCGCCACTGGTGGACCTGGGAGTGTACTCCCAGCATTCATGTGGAGGAACGACGCTGGATAAGGAGCGAAGCGGGGGGGAGACCATTGTCTAGGTTACAAAGCCAGCTGAAGATACCCGGTGTGTGTGCGGCTTTCGATGGGAAGACGATGAGAAATAAAATCGCGGCGCTGATAAATATTCTGAGACTGGCTTTTTGGAACGACTGTCGATCGTATCTTCAGCCATTTCCTGCGAGATAATATACACGTCTCTCGTCCCGTCCCGTCGCGTCGCGTCCGCCAGGTGAGATCCCAAAGTCATATGCTCCGCTAGCGGCCGGCGATCGTGCAGTGAGGGTGAGGTAAGGTAAGCTGCCGCCACTATTCGCTAGGTTGAGGGTGGATGGCAACTGCTGGGTTGGTTGGGCTGTCGGGCGTGTCTAGGGAGTACGTCCGAACGCGGTTAAAAAGGGTTTGGACTTGATCCAGAGCAGTTGAATAAAGAAACCAGATGGTTGGGTAGGGTTTTCTGCGAATCACGCGCTTCGTCACGCCAAGCGCAGCGCAAGTGCATCACATGCCCCGTTGAAAAGGGGTGTTTCGTGTAGTTTCGGAATCGGGATGGAAGAAAATGATTGACCTGGTTTTGGGGGTTCTAGTACGGTAGAGACACTCTCTTCATCGGTACCCCATTTGCCATGGAATGGCAACACGTTCTCACTTGTCAGCCTCCCCCCCACACCTGCCCGCAGAGGTCGGAAAACGACAAAATAATCGTTGTGTTCGCCATATTCACACGAAAAACAATGACGATCGCGTTGATGGATGTCCTTCTTCTCAGCTGAATACAAATATATATAAGAATTATATGAATAGCAACAGCACCTGAGTGACAGTCTGCTCCGGATCGACTGTGTGCATATGTGCTTGGTTGGGGGGGAGGGGGGTTGCGTCTTAGCACTTCAGGTGTGACAAACAAGCTATGCCTGTGGCCATTTCACACCAAGACAGTTGTACAGATAAAAAAAATAGAAAAAATTAAGACTGCTCTATACACAAGCTTTGCGACATCTCCAAAAAACAAATCAAACACAGCTAGGCTGCAATGCTTCACATGATATCCCCAGAGAGTACAATGATTGTCGTAAATCATATCGAAATCCAACACATGACAAATTTGTGCAAACTATGGCAGCTGATGCAGCAGAAGCGGGCGGCACAGCGCGGGCATGTGTAGGGCGCGTGGGAGCCATGCCGCACTCTTCCAGAAGCCTCAGAACCTTATTTCACGAGTTTCGCATGACGAATTTCAGCAGCGGGTCCGTTGTGCAGCCTTTGGCAGCTGATGCAGCAGAATCGGGCGGGCGCGTGTAGGGCCACGCCACATCAGGAGATGTCTGGTGGGTGGTGGGGTGGGTGATCAAACTAATCTACAGTACAAGTTTCACATGACGAATTTCAGGCAGCGGGTTTCGTTGTGCAGTCTTTGGCAGCTGATGCAGCAGAAGCGGGCGGCACAGCGCGGGCATGTGTAGGGCGCGTGGGCGCCACACGCGGAGCAGAAGCGGCGCACTGAGGTGGCTGTGGGGGGCCCCACTGCTGCTGTGAGGTAGGAGAGCGTGCCTGCTGGTAGGGCATCTAGATTCGCCTACAAGGAGGGAGGAGCAGGGAGGGAGGAACAGGATAGGGAAAGGGGAGGGTTGGATAAGATGCAAAAGCGGCGCACTGAGGTGGCTGTGGGGGGCCCCACTGCTGCTGTGAAGTAGGAGGGCGTGCTTGGTGGTAGGGCTTCTAGACTCGCCTGTGGAAAGGGAAGTGGGTATGGGACGGGAGGAAGTGGGTATGGAAAGAGGACGGTTGGACAGTAAGCAGAGCGAGCAACTGCTGCTGTGAGGTAGGCGGGCGTGCCTGGTGGTAGGACTTCTAGACTCGCCTGTGGGGAAGAGGGAAGAGGGTATGCAAGGGGAGGAGGGATGGGGTATAACAGAGGGATGGTTGGATAAGACACAGAAAGAGGCGCACTGAGGTGGCTGTAGGGGGCCCCACAGCTGCTGTGAGGTAGGCAGGCGTGCCTGGTGGCAGGGCTTCTAGTCTCGCCTGTGGGAAGCAGGGATGAGGATCAGAGGGAACTTTCGGGTCAAGTTACAAGAGAAAGAAACTTACCCATTCACCCCACGTCATACCCACCCCACGTCATACCCACCCACATCATACCCAATCCACATCGTACCCACCCCACATCATACCCACCCCACATCATACCCACCCCACATCATACCCACCCCACATCACACCCACCCCACATCATACCCACCCCACATCATACCCACCCCACATCATACCCACCCCACATCATACCCACCCCACGTTGCACCTCGTAAGCAGCTATTTGAACGTCTTTGGTGTTGGCTTGCTCTGTCGGCTATGAGAGCCCTGCTCTTTTCAGTCGACTCAAAAGCATGAGAGCCCTGCGCTGTCGTCTATGAAAGCCCCCATCGGCCCTGCGCTGAAGTGGGCTTTCATATCCGACAGCGCAGGGCTCTCATACTTGCCCATCGGCCCTTACCCACCCCGTGCCCACTTCTACCCGCCCCACCCTGTGCCCTACCTCTTCTAGCAGCTCTGCGAACGTCTTGGGCGTTCGCTTGCTCGCTCGGTTCACCACAGCTGCCTCCGGTAGGAAAGCCCAACCCCCGACACACTCACCCCCATACTGCCCTTACCCACCCTCGTCTTACCTCTTCTAGCAGCTCTGCAAAGGTCTTGGGAGTGCGCTTGCTCGCTCGGCTCACCACAGCTGCTGCAGCCTGCCGCGTACGCCTCTTGCCCGGCCGGCTCACTCGCTTCGCCGGTGCAAAACCTGATGGCACTCGAGGGAAGATGGGAAGAAAGAGAGATATATATGGGGACTGTGGTAACGAAGAAGCAAGTGCATACACGTTTTAGCATATCTTCTTGCACCAGCTGCCCCATACCCGTTACAAGCATACCTTCTTGCACGAGCTCCTCCTCTGCATTGAACACATCATCATCCTCATCCACAGCAGCATCCACCCCCGTATAGTCACTCTCTAGGGCCTCTAATCGCGCTGCTGCTGCCTGGGTGGGTTGGGTGCATGGGAGGGACAGAGAGAAGCACAAAGGGAAGCACGAGAGGTGCTCTCAAAGGGAAAGCAAAAAGGAGCGCATGGGAGGAAAAAAAGTACTTGTCACCCTCGTATAACCGTCGTCCATCCACCCAGTACAATCACTATCTGGTGCCTCTGATTGTGCTGCTGCTGCCTGGTTGATGGGAGACACACACAAGAAAAAAAGAAAGGCATGAGAGGTGACAGCGTTGAAGGGAAAAGTGGGCGACAGGTGAGAAAACACCCACTCATGCACTCACGCACTCGCTAACTCACTCACTCACTCACTCGCTAACTCACTCTCTCACTCACTCACTAACTCACTCGCTTACTCACTCACTCACTCACTCGCTAACTCACTCACTCACTTGCTAACTCACTCACTCACTCGCTAACTCACTCACTCACTCACTCGCTAACTCACTCACTCACTCACTCACTCACTCAATCACTCACTCACTCACTCCCTCCCTCCCTCAATCACTCACTCGTTTCCTTGTGCCTTCATCCAGCATCACAGCCACCACATCTGCCGCCACTTTGCGCTGCCTCAGCGACCCTCTCCTCTCCGCCGCTGCTCCATTCCACTCATTCCCTTCTCACTCACTGCCCAGTGCCAGAGTCCCAAAAAACCACTCAGTCGTTCCCTGTCTCCAGGTGTCATTCAGAAGGAAACCTGACTTCTCACTCACTCACTCACTCCCTCCCAAGGTTCAAAATTACGACCGAATTATTGAAATTCTACCGTATAATACGGAATCGTATAAAACGGCCGTAAAATACGGTTTTAAAAAAATCAGTGATTGCTAGGAGAAAAACTACGTTTTTTAAAAGTCTATCAAAAATACGGCGTATTTTTGGATTTTTGGCCGTAAAAAACGACCGTATTATACGGACCGTATAATACGATAACCGTAATTTTGATCCTTGCTCCCTCCCCCCCTCCCTCCCTCCCTGACTCACTCACTCACTCACTCACTCACTCACTCACTCACTCTCTCACTCACTCACTCACTCACTCACTCACTCACTCACTCACTCTCTCACTCACTCACTCACTCTCTCACTCACTCACTCACTCACTCACTCTCTCACTCACTCACTCACTCACTCACTCACTCTCTCACTCACTCACTCACTCACTCACTCTCTCACTCACTCACTCTCTCACTCACTCACTCACTCACTCACTCACTCACTCACTCACTCTCTCACTCACTCACTCACTCACTCAATCACTCACTCGTTTCCTTGTGCCTTCATCCAGCATCACAGCCACCACATCTGCTGCCACTTTGCGTTGTCTCAGCGACCCTCTCCTCTCCGCCGCTGCTGCCACTGCCGTCGCGCCTTTGGAGCCGCCTTTTAGTGAGTCCATTGCGCCTGGTGCCAGGAGAGGGGAAGGGGGGTGGAAGGGGGAGCGGGGAAGGGAGGAAAGGGGGAGGGGAAGGGAGAAGGGGGGAGGGAAAGAGAGGAGAGGAGGGGAGAGGGATGTGGAGGGAAAAGGGAAGTGGGAGGAGCACGGAAAGGGAGTGTTTGTTAATGGGAGTATCAGACAGTGGTAATGCGTGGGAGGCGAGAAAGCGGAGGGCCTCTCAAGGCGCCGGGAGAAACGAGCGGGCTGACGACAACGCAATCAGCAGGGAGGCGGAGGGTTCCGTTGTTTGAAAACGCAAGGACGACGGGGAGGAGAGGATAGAGGGGACTAGAGAGGAGAGGGGGGAGAAGAGCGGTTACGCAGCTGGAAAGGCGTGAGGGGGGGAGAAGAAGCAAGGACGACGGGGAGGATAGAGGGGGCGGAACAGGATAGGGTTGGGGCTGGGATAAGGACAGCATGCAAGGCCGTGAGCGATGGGGAACGGTGAGGAACGGCAGGGAACGGCGAATGGGGGACATCAACGCAAGGTGCTTATAGTACGATGTGGAGGAAACGACTGGGTAGAATGCCGGATTTCCGTAGATCGATCGTTGCAGAGCGGCAGCAGTGTGCTACCTGCGAGAGAGATTCCCTGAGTCGACTCGGAAGTCAGTTCGTTGTCCAATAGTTGCAGCGCGGCGGTAGCGTGCTACCTGCGAGAGGGCGACAGGGTATCGGCGTTCTTTGCGTTGACAGCTTTTGAGGCGCCTCAAAAGTCTACCTGCGAGAGCGAGACAGGTAGCGCGGTTCTTTGCGTTGATAGCGAGGTAACTACGTACTTTGAATTCCGTATTGGAGGCATAGGGACTTCGACACACTACGGGTATCTGCACTTAGAGGCGTCTGTTACTGTCAATTCGCGCATCGCGACGTAGTCGCGTTGATAAGGTGCCGTGATAAGAAGTGCGAAAAGTCACCACGCGCTATTGCTGTGGAATCAGCTTAGCAAAGGCACTGATGGTAACATGGGGTCGCAACATTCGCCGCAAGGCCGCGTAGGCCGTCGTCACAACATATGGGCTGCTGAGGTAATCACTTGGGAGTCATAATATGGTCAATGTAGGCTCGGGTTGACGAAATCAGCGAGACCTCGCGCGAAGTGACAACAGTTTGTGTTACGTCAACATCAGGATTTCGCTTCTAGACTTTTTCAAGTTTGGGTTGGGTTGAGGGTGGTTGGGTTGAGGGTGGTGGATATGTTTTGCTTTGGAATCGCATCTCGGTCGGTCGGGAGGTGTTGATTTCGTTGCCGACTTCCTTTTGGGAACCCGGGTTGTGTCACTTCCTCTATTAGCACTTGCGTTGCCCAAAGCTAAGGCAGAGATCAGAGTTTATTTTCCTAGATACATGTTAGCGCCCGTTGGTCAAGCAGGCCTGACTGCTGCAAGTTCCGCTATCGGAGACTAGGTCACGCGCTAAACCCTCGACGCTTTTAGTGATCTCAAAATTTCCAGGCTCGTGCGATCACGCCGGCCACGCCAGCCATGCCGCTCGGTCAGAGAGCCGGCGACGCGAGCGAATCTCGATACTGCGGTGCCGAGGTCGCTTATAGCGAGGACATCCATCACACATTGGCCGCGAACTTGGCAGGAGGCTTCGATTTCATCGTCGCTCCCTTAGTACGGCGCGACCCGCAAACCCTACTTCTCTCGCTTCTTCCCTCCCGCCCTTTGCGAAACACACGCCTCGCTTCCTCTTCCCTCTATAATAATGTTCGTCGTCGCATTGCACCGTGCCTTGCCAAGAGGAGCGTGTGTTCAAAAAATCCTATTTGAGAATTCTCAGAAGTGATCCCAATATCAGCGAGATCACTTGTATGGGGGTCCTAAATTCCCGGACCCCGGATCAGCGGGACCCCGGATCAGCGGATCGTATTCAACGATCGTTCCCATTTACAAGGAAAACTGAATTCCCGTGCTGCCGTCTGGGGTCAGATCTAGTCCTCACTCCGTCCCTCTCCTTCTGACCGTTCGAAAATTTCCTTCCCCCTTATTCGTCCGCATTCTTTCTTACCCTTAAACGTCCGGATCTTATCGCAGACCGATCCCTCCTGCCGCGGCAGGCGGAGCCGCGATGCCGCCCTCGGCGGGATAAGATCTAGTGCTGGGCCCGTTCTTTCCCTTCTGAACATCCAGATTCTTTTCCACCCTTCACGATCGGATTTCCCCCCCAGACTGACCCCTCCTACCGGCCGAGTCAAGCCAAGCCAGCCGCAGCAGGCGGGGCTGTGGTGCCGCCTTTCGCGGGATCGGATCTGGTGCTGAGCCCGTCGCAATGGAGCAGCCACGTGGTCGGCAAGCTCTCCACGTGGGCTGACGTGGACTCCCCTGATGCGCTGATGCGATCTGACAGCGAGACTGTGATTAAACAGGAAATCAGCTGGGCCTCGCATTTGTCACTTCAGGTTAGTGGGTCGAATAAGTAGAATAGATCGAATGAAGCATTAATTGTAGAAGTAGGCTGGCTGGGGGTAAAAGACCTTAAGACAGGGTTTCAGGGTTTTGAGGGGGTTTTTGTATACAGCATTTTGTTGTTCTCTTTCCCCCTTTCCCCGGGCGGCGCGCTGCCCATGCTCAGGAAAAATGCCCTGTCTTGCCATGCCAATTCACTCACCTCACCATACAAACGCATTTCTGTTGCAATTCAGAACGGCCCACCTTATTCTTCTCCTTTGTTTCCCCCCCAAACCCTTCCTCACCCCACCACACCTCCCGCTTTTCACCCTTCCCACGTCGCCCCAAAACCCCCTCTCCACAAATTATGTCCATGCATGCCTGTTGCCTCCAGTCAACCTCCTATGGGTCGTGCCCACTTCCTACATTGAATTGCCAATTGTCTCTCTTCTCCTGTTTCCCCCTAAACACTCACCCCCCCACTCCTCCCCACCTTCCACCCCCCCGCCCCTCCTCCCCTCCTTCACTCTCACCCCTCGTTTCCTTGCCCTTTCTTCCTGGTTAATCGTTCAAAAGGCATGCCTACTGCCAACGCCCAGGGCGCTGGACTGTGGCAGCTATGCGCGGTGCATAAAAAAGAAACTCTCTTCTCTCTTCTGTGACTCTCTTCTCTCTTTCTCCCCCCCACACCCCGCCCCCCCTACACAAACCCCTTTCTTCCCCCCCTGACTCCGCGAGCAGGCGTGCCTGCTGCCAACGCCCAGGGCTTTGGACTGTGGTAATTACGCGCGGTGCATTAACCAAGTGCTGCAGGGGCTGTCCAGCATGCAGGTGGGTGGGCGTGGATGGGTGGGGATGGGTATGTGTGGGGTTGGGTGGGGTATGCTTGTAGACTGCAACGGCAACTACGCGCGGTGCATTAACAAGTGCTGCAGGGGCTGTCCAGCATGCAGGTGGGGGTTTGACCAGGGAGGGAATGAATGGGTGCCAATGGCTGTGTGCGGTGTGTGGTGGGGCATGCATGTGAATTGCAGCAACTAATATGGGCGGTGCATCAATCAATCAAGTGCTGCAGGGGCTGTCCAGCATGCAGGTGGGTGGGTGGGTGGGTGGGTGGGCGGGTGGGTGTGCACGGGTAATGCATGGGGTGTGCACGGGTAATGCATGGGGTGTGCACGGGTAATGCATGGGGTGTGCACGGGTAATGCATGGGGTGTGCACGGGTAATGCATGGGGTGTGCACGGGTAATGCATGGGGTGTGCACGGGTAATGCATGGGGTGTGCACGGGTAATGCATGGGGTGTGCACGGGTAATGCATGGGGTGTGCACGGGTAATGCATGGGCGGGTAATGCATGGGCGGGTAATGCATGGGCGGGTAATGCATGGGCGGGTAATGCATGGGCGGGTAATGCATGGGCGGGTAATGCATGGGCGGGTAATGCATGGGCGGGTAATGCATGGGCGGGTAATGCATGGGCGGGTAATGCATGGGCGGGTTATGCATGGGCGGGTAATGCATGGGCGGGTAATGCATGGGCGGGTAATGCATGGGCGGGTAATGCATGGGCGGGTAATGCATGGGCGGGTAATGCATGGGCGGGTAATGCATGGGCGGGTAATGCATGGGCGGGTAATGCATGGGCGGGTAATGCATGGGCGGGTAATGCATGGGCGGGTAATGCATGGGCGGGTAATGCATGGGCGGGTAATGCATGGGCGGGTTATGAATGGGCGGGTAATGCATGGGCGGGTAATGCATGGGCGGGTAATGCATGGGCGGGTAATGCATGGGCGGGTAATGCATGGGGTTTACATGCCTCTGCATCACCCCTCGCTGTCCGTCCCCGTTCTTTCCCTCCGCCGCCTTCTCACCTCCTGTTGTCTGTTTTTGCCCCCATTACTACAAAATTAGCAACACACTCCCCTTGTCCCACCACCCCTTCCCCCGTGCCTCGCGTTTTGAGACATGTCAAATGTCAAACTTAGCAACACACTCCCCTTGTCTTGTCCCACACAACCCCTTCCCCCGTACGTACCCTCACAGCCCCCCTTACCCTCACCGCTTCCTTACCCGCCCTTTTCTTCTGGTGCCTCCACCACCCTGTTCTGTTTCCTCGTTCATTGCTGTAACCCCTAATTCCTTGTTTTTCGCTCGCTCTACCTCCCACCCTCACCCCCTTCCTGCCTCTTCCTCCCCCTACCCACGGCAGCTATGGCTGCGCATCCCCCTTGTAGCGCCAGAGCTACAGGCAGCAGAGGGCAGCGCGGAAGAGGATACAGTCATGATGGTGAGGGGTGTGGGAGGAAAGGGATGGGGGGGATAGTGAGGTGCAGGGAGGGTGAGTATAGTATAGTGGTGGTGGTGGTGGTGGTGGTGAATGGCAGTTGGGAGTGGTGGAAGAAGCTTCTTATGCTCCCATCCTCCTGTGTTACCCCCCTTTGCTCTTCCCTTACCCCTCCCTACCCCCTTCCTCTGTTCTCCCCAACGCAGCAGCGTGACCCCAGCGCGAACCGAATGGTGAGCGACAGTTGAAAGTGGTGGGACGAGTATCGCGCACACACCTC